ACCCTGCGATCGAGACCTGGAGGAGGAAAGAGGCATGGTCAACGTCACCATCACCATCGGCGGCATCACCATCATCGGGATCCACTGCTGAGACGAGTGAGGCAAAGTAGTGCACCGACCCGTTGGCAGCAACGATGGGCAGGGACTCGTCTCCATTGCTGTCCACAAGGAAGTCACGAATACGGTGTGGTGCAGCGGGTCCCAAGTATTGCCTCATCTCTCTGCGAATCTCACGAAGGGCTTGGAAATGTCGATCCACCATCTCTTCCCAGAGCCCGTGCCGCGTCAAGGAGTTACGCGGGTCATTCAGCCACCGAAAGTAATCTACAGTATTGAGGCGCCCCTCGGTAGAGGTGTCCCAGGCAACCATGCAGATATGACGAGCGAGTTCGTCGAGAGCACCACTCCAACCAGACGAATCCACCCATTCCATCGCCTCAAATTTGGCACGTACGTATGGGATGCACCACATCAACCAGTCGGCACGGCCGCTCTCGGAGTCATCCAAGCGCAAGATCCAGCGTGTAGCCCTTGGTGCAATACGTTCGCCAAAGACAACAGGTGTTGCATGCTCCACAGAGGAAGAATGTGGATGGCCCGCCAGACGCAGGATGTGAGTACTCGGTGACGGCGTCGACTTCGACGAGGTGGCATCGCCCAGACACCACAACTGTTCAGGGAGAGAAGGGTCCTCACGAACAGGAAGCCCACCAGCACGAAGGCGTTCGACGCGCTTGATGGTCGCACGATATTCACGTTCAAGCCGAGTAACATCCGCCTCACATGCAGCTGGGACAGACAACGACGCTGCATGGACCGCGGAGAGCGCCACCGTGGCGGCAAGCGGCCATGGGAACATGGATGCCGCAGGTCGCGGCGAGGTGGCAGCAGGAGCGGACGCCCGCCCGTTGACGACCTGCCTTGAGGGCAGGGCCTCGCACTGAGCCAAAGCGCCAGCAGGAATGGGCACAGGAGACACTGGATGGGGAACAGGTTGGCCAGCTTCATCAGCGCTATGTATCACATCGTCGTCACACGGGGTGGAAGGGACCAGGTCAGGGATGGGGGCCGCAGCATCTGAACTCAAACAGGAGGTGGACGATGAGGTGAGCACATCCCACTGAGGCTGCCCTCGGCGGATCGTCTGGACAGCGGGAGGAGGTTCCCACCGTTTCAATTTGGCTGAAGGCCTGGCCAGACGAGAGGTGCGGACGGCGGCCTCAACATAACCACGCAACTGACGGGGAGTCGACACTAGAGCACCTTGCCGAGCATAGTTGAAGACCTGGTAATAGACATAGAGAGCTTCGAAGTGGTCAGGGTGGGGGTGGGTAAGGCCAAGACGCTGAGCCAGGGGGCGAGGCAGGGCACGCTGTAGACCTTTGCAGACTGCCAGGTACAATTTAGGGCAGCGTAGATAATGTTGCAGCCGATCAGGGCCAGGGCATCCGAAACGACAGCGAAGTTTGCCCCTCGGGTGGATAATCCTATGTGATGTCAGCCATCCATGCCCCCAAGTCCGTAAGGCTGCCATCGCCCAGCTTTGCGGAACCAATGCCAAAAGCTCCTGAATAGCGGGCCAGTGGATCAGGTTGAGGAAGGGGAGGTAAGCTGTGAATAACGGGGTTAAGTGGCGAATCAGCATGGCATGTAGAGGTTTGTGCGTACACATGTTCTGACCCAACGAGCGGGCAGCAGCACGTTGCAGCTTGGGCCTTCGTGTCGTAACCTGAGCTTCCTCACGCATGGCAGAGCGAGCGGCGACGAGTAGGGGCTCTTGAGACCTCACGTGGACCAGCTCAAGGTGTTCGACGAACGCAGGGGATTTCAGGAAAGATGGATAAACACGGGAGCGATCCACAGCAGCCAAGGGGATATCATCAAACTTCCCTTCCACAACCTCTCTGTGCCAAAGAGAATCCGTTTGTCGCAGTAGCCGTAAGTATTCCTCAAAGCCCTGGAAGGTGTGAAAAGCAGCACGTAGGTGAGCTGCAGTAGCATGGGCAGCCCACGATGGAATCTGAGGACCACCCCAGGCCGGGAGCTCCAGGATCGATTCGTTCGAAAAGAGGCCAAGAGGAGCACGGAGAACTTGGGCGATGGCACCACGCTCAATGGGAAGGAACCATTCGGGCATAGGGAGGAATTGGGCTACATACGCCAAACAAGGGTAGACCCGCGTGCGGTACAAGATACAATTCGTGCAGACTGACGCAACCCCACGTCCCAACATCCGAGAGCGAGATCGTGCCTTCATAAGCGGGCCCCTCCAGTTCATGTCGACCGTCGCATCTGGGCCCAAGATCATCCCAAGATAAAGCAACCACCCCTCAACGGCAAAGCCTGACCAGTCACTCGCGATAGAAGCCAGCTGGGTCTGGGTCATGGTTTTCAGGGTTTCTGTCATGCGGCCGACGAGAGGGACCAGGGTGCACTTGCTGATCTTAATCTTGAGGCCCGCAATCTTTTCCATGACACCGAGGACCCGCACCAGGATGCGCAGAGAGGCTAGCTCATACAGGACAGCGCCTAGATCATCGGCACAGGCACGGCATATCCCCAACTGACGTTGCTCAATACTCCGCTCGAGGTCGGCCAACATGGGGGAGGAGGCGAGAGCGTACAAAGACCCCGAGAGACCACAGCCTTGGATGATGCCCGAGCGGATCCAGAAGATGGTCGAGTAGCATCCCCCATCCAGGACCACACCTTCAACAGCCAAATACATCCAGCCCACAAAAGCGAGAATCTCGGCGGGGAGCCCAATAGAGCCCAATAGCTGTAGTAGGAAGGACTGCGACAAGCTCGGGAAGGCCTGCCCGTAGTCGAACCCGACGAGGACAGGGTAACGACGCACAGCTAGGGGATGTTGCGATGCAAGCCGTGCATGGACATCCAGCTCAAGCACGTTGTAGCAAAAATTTCGTCCTCTAATGAAGCCTCTCTGGGAAGCAGGTGCAACGGCTTGGACGACAGGCTCGAGGACCCTGTTCATGACCGAGCTCAGGATCTTAACGTCGGTGTTACGCAGCCCCAGGACCCGTATCTTATCGGGAGACCGAGAACAAACCCCAGACGGCAGATCTGAGTCATCAGCACCTTTGGGGAGGAACGCCTGGAGGGTGACGCTGGCAGAGGCAAACAACGACTGACCTTGGCATAGCCATCCGAACATTCTGGCCAGGTGCTGGGCGCCGTAGTCGCACGCCGACCAGGCCGCATAAGGCAGCCCGTCGACACCAGGAGCAGAGTGACGAGCACGCCTGAGAACCTTACGAAACATTGGGGTCAGAGGACAGTGCAGGTCGATGTCAGAGGCCTTGGTGAGGAACCTATCGAGGTACATCTGGGTCATGACAGGGTGGGGCTCTTTCTTGGAGAAGACAGGGGTCCAGTAGGCCGCCAGGGCCGCTGTGCGTTCCCGAACCTCTGAGATGGGGCCCTCAGGAGTATTGACCGCGGACAGAATCAGGCGCTTCGAAAACGGGGCCCATATGGAGGCCTTCCTTTCGATAGCTCGCAAGAGCGTGGCCGAATGAGGCCGCCAGGCAGATGAGGAGCCTGAAGGAGCACGATCAGCAGCAGCAGCAGCAAGTTCTTTTTCAAAGACCAGCCGATGTACTCCAGCGGCCCACTGCTCGAAGGACGGGGCGTGGCGCAGCGAGACGACCTGGCCGTCGACCGTCAGGGCGTCAGCGGCGTGCTGGGAGGTCTCGATGAGCTTGAGGGCAAGGGCAGCGTCTTGACGCCATACCGCACGTGCTATCCCACGAGCAACCAGCTGAAGCGTCCCAGGCAGGTCAGGGGCCGAGAAGAAGAGGATGTCGCGGGCCTCCCTGGCGGCCTCCTTCATCATGTACTTGTAGTGCTCTGTAGCCACCGGTGGGCTCCATCGGAGCAGATCCTCATCACCATCAGCAACCATTCCTCGGAGTCGGCGCTGGAAAGCAACAGAGGTGAAGATGTGCTTGGGGATGGGTCGCTCAGCAGCGGGACGCACACCCCGAAGACGCAGCCGAATCGAGAGAGCAGCATGATCCGATATGCCCCTGGAGCACAGGTGCTCAGGCGTGTCCACGGTGTTAACCTCAGTCATGAGCTGACACATCATCCAGCCTGTGGCAGAACAGAAGAAGCGGTCGATGATGTTGATGGAATTGGTGAACTTGCAGAAATGGGTCGCCGCTTCAGAGTTAATCTCCATCATCTTGCCAAGTGTAGCCGCCCAGATTGGAGCATGTACTTTATGATCATGAGTCAACTGGCGCTGTACTCCAGTAGGTCGGTGAAAGATGAGAGAAGAATCGTAACTGTAGTTGAGATCCCCCAAGACAGCCACAAAGTACGAGAGTGGGTCATCAGCAGCGCGACGCAGAGCACAATCGATCTGCTCACAGACAGATTGTACCTCCCCCTTGGTCAAGCCGTGATTGTGAACGTTGAAGATCACCAGCTGTGTCTGCCCAAGTGCAACATCAACACGAAGCACCCTGCCTCTGATCAGAGGCACCGCACAGCTACTGACCGAAGTGGATGAGAAAGGAGGAAGAACGACTGCAACTCCCCCAGAGCCGCGGACAACCTCGCCGTCGTCATCTTCACAAAAGCTACTGTGGACAATGGCCGTGGAGGAAAGCCTGGCCACAAAGTCGTTCAGCTCAAATCGATCAGCATGCACTTCTTGGAGAGCCAAGATGGATCGCCCAGGTTGAAGTTTGCTTAGGTAAGATAGCTTAGGCGAGGCTTTCGCCCCACCAAATTGGAGAAGAGCGCGTGCATTCCAAGTCATGAATGTGAGGCTGGCTGTGATCTCTCCGCCGACCTGCCCCACTGGAAGCACAAACATATCAGTGATGGCGTCAAAGACACCACTGGGTGGCCGACGGCGCGGCGGTGATGTTCCGAATGGCCTCCTGGAGGTCACGACGGTCCAGGCCGAGGGCGCGGATCCCCACGTCGTTCCAAGAGAGCTCAGGGGGTTCATCTCCTGGCCGGGGGACAAGCCGCAGGATGTCGGTGTAGTCAGACTTGAGAACACTCCGCTCCCGATCAACAAACCACTTTCTCTGACTGTCGAGCTCCATGAGGGAAGAACGGACCTTGCGAAGGAGCATCTCACCACGAACCTGTTTCGGCGACTTGTCAGGACCAAAGTGAAGACGGGCTGGGTCCGCACCTTGAGCTGGGCACTGGAAGACCCGCCATGCTCCGTCCGACTTGAGGTTAGCGAGGGCCTTTTGCACGCGTCGGGAGGCCAGGCCGATCGGCCCAGAGAAGCACACGGCAAACTTTTTGGCGGGGAGCGGCGTGAGGGCTTTGATCGTGTACGTGTCGTCCTCAGAGAAGTTGAGCTCGCCCATGAAGGAGTTGACCACCTCACGGACGCCAGCCAGGCCGACGAGCTTGGACGAGACCACAATGACCTGCGTCGGGTCGATCTCGCGGTCGAAACCAGGTGGGGCAGGAGGACGCGACGGAAGTTGACGGTCCAGCTCACCCTGGCGGCGTAGCTCCTCGACCTGCTTCTGCAGCTCAGCCAACTTGGCAGCCTGGGCCTCGATGTCCCGCTCAGTGTAGTCGACGCGACGGGATAAAGCGTCATGCTGCTCCTGAAACTGGCGCTGCGTGGTATCAAACTGCGGACGCACAGATGCCATGACCTGCTGATCAATGGAGGTGTGCTGCGAGGAAAGCTGCTTCTGAAGAGTGGCGAGCGTGGCAACGATGGGAGCGTTTGACTGCTGTACAGAATTGGTGATGGCCGTAGTAACGATATTGTCGAACTCATTGCGCAGCTGCATGAACCGTGCGGAGATGTCGGCATGGTAGAAGGCCCGAGTGAAGGCAGCATGCTCCTCCTCTTCGCCACAATCAGCAGCACCACCAGCAGCAGCCTGAGCCCGCGGGGTGGCGCCCGCGCCCGCCGCCGCGGCCCAGGGGTCGAAAAGCCTAGCAGCAGGGCCCTGCGGGGTGGCGTTCGGGTCGGGTCGCGCCTCCTGCGACGGGAAGGTAGCGGCCATCTCGAGCTCTGCAGCCACCTGTGCACGCTTGGAATCGTCCCATTCGTCCAAGGGAATAGCTTGAGCACCGCGAGATGCTCCCAGAGCCGCAGGGTCGGGGCCCCGATGCGAGGCTGCAACACCAGGAGACATAGGGACGTCCCCGCCAGCGCCACGAGCGCGGCCAGCACGGCGAGCACGGCGAGAGGGCTCAGGGGCAGGGCCAGCATTGCCGTGGGAGGAAGGCCGAGCGCGAGCTGCACGACGAGCACCACGGCTGCCACCGCTCCGAGAGGCAGAGCGGCGGGGTTCCTCAGAGGAATCACGGCCACCAGAGGAAGCAATCTCCGTATCAATATCGTCACCCCCATCGAGACGATGCACGACATGGTGCGGGCGGTCGCAGGCGGCAGGGCCCATGGCGGCTCAGCTCGCGTCGTTGTAGCCAAAATTGGAAGCGTGCTGTGGCGCACGGCAGGAAGGAGAGAGGCGTCCTGGCCTCGGAAGGTTCGGGCCTCCCTGTCGCCTGCGACAAGGCTGAAGCCCCAGGGCAGGTTTCAACCTTGAGCCAAAATGGCTACGGAGGAGGAGGAGGAGGAGGAGGGTGAGGAGGAGGAGGAGGAGGACCAGCGCAAACCCAAGAGTCATAAACAACCCTTCCTCCAATCTCCCTCTTCGTCGGCCCCTGCAACGGTTCATTGCCACTGAGGGAACTGCCTCGTTGGAAGCCAACCGTTTGAAGATCCTGTAGCATGCCAAAACATTATGCCCAGGACCCCAACGCCACGGATCAACATGACTGTTGCGTCTTGACCATACTGAAGCGTGCCAGAACGCCATTCCTGGGATTTCAACACCGCGAACCACCGTAATTGTTGCACACTCATAACCCCGAACACTTCCAACATACCATCTCTGGTACGCTGATCATGGGAATCCGCGAAACTCTGGCAAACGTTAACAACGAATGTGCGCGGCGCTAAGGGAGAACCACATTTTGAAAAGGAGCCGCCCGCAAACCGTGAAGCTCTTGCAAATTTGTAAAACGAGTGTGCGCGGCGCTGATGCGAGATCATCATTTTGAAACCGAGCCGCCTTCCATCTATGAAACCGTTGTCATTCCCAACCATCCTGTGGTGTTGGGTCCTCGCTTTGAAGACGGTGCCCCGCGTTCCTCTTCTCTCCTTCCTCCTCCTCCCTCCCCTCCTCCCTCCTCCCACCATCATCATCACCACCATCGGCATCATCAGCATCATCACCATCACCATCACCATCACCATCACCATCACCATCACCATCACCATCACCATCATCACATCATCATCATCATCATCATCATCATCATCATCATCATCTTCTTCATCATCATCGCAGTCATCATCATCATCATACGACCCCTCACGCGTTTCGTGGCCCCATAGGGACCTCCACCGAAGGTCCCAGTGGCTGCGTTCGCATGCGGGCACCGCACCCATTTCGGCACACCTCTCTCACACGTTTCGTGGTCCCATGGGGAGCTCGGCCGAAGATCCCAGTGGCTGCGTTTGCACGCGGGCACCGCACCCATTTCGGCACACCTCTCATACGTTTCGTGGCCCCTTAGGGAGCTCCGCCAAAGGGCCCAGTGGCTGCGTTCGCATGCGGGCACCGCATCGATTCGCCCATTTCGGCACACCCCTCACACGTTTCGTGGCCCCATAGGGAGCTTCGCCGAAGGCCCCAGTGGCTGCGTTCGCATGCGGGCACCGCGCCCATTTCGTTACACCTTTCACACGTTTCGTGGCCCCTTAAGGAGCTCCGCCGAAAGCCTCAGTGGCTGCGTTCGCATGCGGGCACCGCACCTATGTCGGCACACCCCTCACACGTTTCGTGGCCCCATAAGAGCTCCGCCGAAGGCCCCAGTGGCTGCGTTCGCCTGCGGGCACCGCGCCCATTTCGTGACACCCCTCACACGTTTCGTGGCCCCTTAGAGAGCTCCGCCGAAGGCCCCAGTGGCTGCGTTCGCATGCGGGCACCGCACCAAATTCGGCACACCCTCACACGTTTCGTGGTCCCGCAGGGAGCTCCACCGAAGGTCCCAGTGGCTGCGTTCGCTGGCGGGCACCGCACCCATTTCGGCACACCTCTCACACGTTTCGTGGCCCCATAAGAGTTCCGCCGAATGGCCCAGTGGCTGCGTTCGCATGCGGGCACCGCGCCCATTTCCTTACACCCCTCAAACGTTTCGTGGCCCTTAGGGAGCTCAGCCGAAGGCCCCAGTGGCTGCGTTCGCATGCGGGCACCGCACCAAATTCGGCACACCCTCACACGTTTCGTGGCCCCATAGGGAACTCCACCGAAGGTCCCCGTGGCGCAGTCCGCATACGTCTCCCTCACCCAGTACAGCGTTTCGTGGCCCCATATGGAGCCCCACCGAAGGTCCTCGTGGCGCAGTCCGCATGCGTCCCCCTCACCCACTACAGCGTTTCGTGGCCCCATAGGCAATCATTCTCAAACTATTGACATTCATACAATTACACCATGCTTTGTCATGCTCGCATTCATGCACGTAGATTCGCTCGCACGCACATTCATCCACAGTCAGACGCATTCGCGCTCAGATTCACCCGCGCTCAGTCTCCCTACGTACTTAGATCAATCGTTTTCGTTCGCGTTGTGTACCACGCCACTGATTTCGGCACACCCCTAGCACGGTTCGTTGCCTCATAGGGATCACCACCAACAAAGTGAATCACAATTGCGGTAGTCACACCTGCATACGGTTGGGTCCTTCGTCAGGCGAATTTGTTTTTAAAGCTTCAGGGTAAGACGTGGTGAGAAAATCTCACGCGAAACGCCCGGCCCGCCCTAAAAACTGGTCTCGGGGTGCGACAGGGAGAAGTTAGTTAGAAGGAAAATGAATGGATGATGATTATGGTGATGATGATGAGGAGGACAGGCATGCCGAGGGGAATACGGTGGATTATGATGATGATGGTGATGATGATGATGATGATGATGATGATGACGACGACGATAATGAGGGGAGGAAGAGGAGGAGCAGGAGCAGGAGCAGAAACAGGAGAAGGATGAGGACGAGGAGGATGAGGGTGAGGATGCTGATGAGGATGCGGATGAGGATGAGTACGATAATGATGATGCTGCTGCTGATGATGATGGTGATGATGATGATGCTGATGATCCCTAGCTCTATTCTCTTTCTCAGCCAGACACCAGGATGTATAAGAAGCAGAGCCTCCGCGAGTCCAAAAACGAAGGAAGCGGCCACTGAGGCCGCGACTGCTGTCGTCAAGAACCTGCTGCGCGAAACCAGTCGTAAGCTGAAAACTCTTCAGGGTGGGGGAGGGGGGAGGGAGGTGAAGCTTGAGCCACCGCAGTTGCGGCGAACAGAACGAATTACTGTTCGGGTCGACTGGGGGTCGAGCGGCTGAGCACCGAAGCGAGACACAGGATTCACGTACGAGTACAACACATCCCTAGCTTTATTCCCTTTCTCAGCCAGGCACCAGGGTGTATAAGAAGCCGAGCCTCCGCGAGTCCAAGAACGAAGGAAGCGGCCACTGAGGCCGCGACTGTTGTCGCCAAGAACCTGCAAACTCTGTTACCTCCAAAACAGTTCAATGGCCAGAGCCGTATAATATTTATTGCATAAAGCGCCCAAAAGAGTCACCGATACCTTTGCCCCATGAGTTGTAGTACGCAGTGGCAATAGCTTTGCATAGCCGCTTTCGGTATGGTTCATATAACTTTGCGTAGAACTGACCGGCCGGATCTTTGCCCTGAAGCTGCTGATGCCCACGCCCCGTACGACTGCATGTACCCCGCTTGCTGCCCACACATCTCGCGTCTGCGAACTCGGTCAAGTCAAGGTTGGAGGACAGGAAACACTTGCTTTTCTTCCAAGGGACTCCCCATTGACAGAAATCGGCGGTAACAACAGTAACCCCACGAGATCGAGGAAGGCGGCGCATAGCAGGGCAAATCCACAGTCGACTGCGAGCGGGATTCTCGAGAGAACAAGGGATCTGAGCCTGCCTGCACTCACGTATGATAGACGCCGAGAACAACATCAGGATGTTACCAATCGCCACCTTCTCCTGGTCGGCCTGGGGCAGCCCGCCGAGGCCCACCGGCTCCGAATCGCTTCGGAGCCGAGGGGGCTCAGGGGGCATGTCTCGGGCGCGGCTGAAGGAAGGGCAAGGCGTGGCCACATGGAGCCTAACCACCAGCCCCTCCCTAACCCAGCCTAAGAGAAGGTGGCGATTGCGTTTGCACCTGAGGTCGTCGTTCTCGCCCAGGCTAATGTCCCAGAGTAAAGCCGTTACCCCTGCGCCCGAGATCGCATCAGAGAGATGGCCGCTCCCGGAGAACACCTCGACGAAAACCCGCTGTCGGAGACGAAGGGCGCCGCTGAGCGCAGGCCAGACATGGCTGCGATCAGCAGCTTCCTGCAGAGCTTTCCGCGAGCCTGCCGCGCGGGCGTGGGCTCGAGGACACTCTGCGTGAGCCTGCTGCCCTTCACGTGGCGTCTTCCCGCAGGCCACGACAGCCAGCGGCCGCGCTGGCGCGCGACCACCAGGCGGCGGTGCCCCGAAGCGAAGACGTGCGAGGTGCCGCCGCGTCGCAGCATGCACATGAGGGCGCCGCCCAGGGCCGCGAGGGCCCCCCGCGCCTCCACGTCGATCTTGAAATCCTTCGTCACGGTGGCCAGCGTCTCGACGTCCGAGACTGGGGCCACAAGGTCCTCGGCCCTGATGTGGAGCGCCTTCCCGGGCCGCAGGTGCAACGCGAAGGTGGGGGGCACCGCGATGGCGCACTTGACGCGGTGCCGGGCGAGCAGCTCCATCACCGCCATCGCCTCGTCCATGTAGGGCATGGGCCAGCGACGGCGCGGTGGCGCCAACCTGTGGGGACCCCGTAGAGCAAGGCGGCGACGCGGCCGCCGCGCGGCCCGGCGCCCTGTTCAGGCCCGTGAAGAACGTCCCCGTCGCGTTGGCCCACGAACCCGCACCCAGGTCCACGCCGTCGAGGCGCGACGCGTTGCGGTCCGCCGCGATCGCCTCGTCCACTTGCTTCTCTGACGCCAGGGGCCGCCCGCGCGACCCCACGAGGAAGTTGCGGGCGACCTCCTGGTAGCGGCTGCGGGGCCTGCGCTGGAAGGGCGCTGCCCTGAGCACCGTCATGCCTGGCGCCCGCGCGGCCGCAGCCCACCGCGTCGCGCCCCGCGTGGCCCGCTGAAGGGCCCCGCGGAGCAGCGGGGCAGGCGAGGCGGCCAGCCGCCGCAGCGCCCGCAGCCGCAGTGCCGCGATGACGTAGGCCGGCTCGAGGCTCCTGCCAGCACGTCGCCAGGGCGCGGAGCTGGCGCACGGGGCCCCCTCAACTCCGCCCAGGGGGCCTGGGGCAGCGGCCCTGTCCGCGCCGCCCGGCTGGGCGAGGCCACGGAGCCCTAAGCCGGCGCCTCGCGTGCGAGCATCCCGCGCGGCCAGCGCGGTGGGGGCCGCGGGGCGCCAGCGCCCCCTTGAGGGTCCGTCGGCTGCATTCCACTCTGAGGGGGCCAGCGGTAGTGGAGGGAAGACCCCGTCGCCAGCGAGAGGGCGGCGATGCTCTGTGTGACGTTCATCATAGCCCGACTCCCACTGCGGCTTTTAGAGACAGCGCGGCCACGCTCATGGAATCCCCGAGGACGACCAGACGCTTGCCGTGATGTTGGCAATTGCGGAGGAGGTGCCTATGGCCGTGCAGGGTCGCGCGAGCGTCCAGGACTGGGATGCTCTCGCCTTTCTTGCGCCACTCGAACCTCCCCGCCACCTTCCAGTCCTGCTCGATCATCTCCCTCGGAACTTCAGGAAACTCGCCTTCTCGCGCTAACCTCCCGAACCCGTAGAGATCGCCGGGGGCGTGCCCCCCGGCGAGAGGGGCCTCCGGACGTCCGGAAGCACCGTGATCAAGAACAGGATCCTGAGTGTCGTCGGGGCCGTGCATCCAAGGGGCAGCGCTCTCCGTGGACCCGTCGAGGGCCACCGCAGCAGCGGCGTTCCGAGCCCAGCGACCAGCGTGGCGACGAAGGCCCCCGAGGGCGCCCCCCCGCCCCCAGCGCCACCTCTCAGACGTACGCCCAACCTTTGAACAGAGAGAGGCCCCACAGCGGCTGGAACAAGCGCCGAGGCCCCGCTCCATGGCGTCGACCACGATAACTTCGCCACCCCAAGCAGCCCGCAGGTCACGATAAAGGAGCGGAGAGATCGAGTCCCAAACGGTCAACTCCCGAATAACTGAAGGCCACGGGGTAGAATCCGTGTCATAGTGCTTGTGAATAAAACCATAGCAGCTCCAAACCAAACTGAGGCCTTCACGCCGCGCCAAGGATATAACAACGAGATGTCCGAGAAGCCTTTCGACATACCGACCTTCTGCCCGACCGCGAGCGAGAAGAGCGCGAATAGCAAGCCGAGCGCGCCATAGACGTTCAGGAGAAGCCGCGAGACGCCCACCCCTTCGATCGATCACCCAACCCAGCAACTTAGCGGTAGCACTCTCCCCCCATGATCCTCCTCATGAGCGACGAGACCTCGGGCCTCCAGAGCAGCGATGGCCGCAGTCACAGACTTTTTGACGTGGTCCGCATCGGACGAGATAGCTATGAAGTTGTCCACATACTGCGTGTGACATGGTTGGCTGAGGTCGGGGGAGCACGTCTCGTCGATGATCCTATATTTGGGGTCCGAGCCTGCTGCCTCGACAATCCTCTCGTGTATCTCCTGGCAAAAACAAAGGGCCCAAGACCAACCCGCGGGCATGACGGCGAGCCTGGGATATACCTTCTCATGTGCAGCGACAGCTGGACCCCCAATCCTCGTGCAACCTGCCGCCCCAGCCTGCGCGGGCCGAAAGGTAAAGTATTTTGTCAAAGGCTTTGGCAGCCCCATGTGGTAAAAAGCGTCGCTCAAATCAGCCCCGCCAACAAGGATCTCTTCGTCGGCTCCGAGCTCGATGGCAGCGAGGCCCTCGCCGGTGCAGAGAGATCCCCCCCTGCCTCGGTGAAATGACAGTTCGAGCGCCTGCAATCCACGACGAGCCTTAGCTTGCCGTTCTTCTTGGCTACAAAAAACGGCCCCACTCGCCCCCCATCCTCGCGTGCAAAATCGAGCATTCCACGGGCGCCAACGCCGCCATGAATACTTCAAAGGCGCGAGGGTGTCCAAGCTCGGGGTCGGAGTAGGGAGAGTCAACACCAGCGGCTCGGAGTCGAGCCCGCGACTGTTCCGACTGAACGACATTCAACCGGCAGAACTACTCTACCATTTGGCGCCCGCCTTCGCCCCACAGCTCAGACACAGGAACAGGCCTGGGGGCGCCTGAAGGCAATGAGACGTCGGCGAGAGAGTAGCGACCGAGCATGGTACCGTCCACAACGTGCCAGCTCGCCACGCGAAGCTTCCTGAGAGCTTCCGCGGGGGTGACCCCCTCGGGCGGGGGGCCGAGGTCGCGCGCGGCGCATCGGACTCGGTCCAACACCCCGGCCTGACCAGCAGATGCAAGCAAAAAAGTACCACCGTCGCTGGCTCGCTCCGACGATAGCTCACGAGCGCCGCGAGGTGGGGGCTGCGGCTGATGGCGGTAGAGCGACTTCAAACCCCAGGCCGCTCGATCGACCTCGCGATCCTCGGCCTGACGCCTACCAAGCTTTTGCAGCGTGCCGCGTGACATTGTACAGGCGCGCGCCCGAGACACTCTGAAAACCTCTCCACGCGGAAGGGGGAACAGCTCGCGGGGCACACGTCGGTCAGACGTGGGAAGAAGACAGGAAGAAGGATGAGTAGGGGATTCTAATTGGCAAGCTTCGCTGGTGGGCCCCGGGGCCCAGCTCACGGGGGCACTCGAAGGTCAGGATAGCTCGGGCGCGCCGGCAGGTGGCAAGCCGCGCAGGCCAGTGGGTCTCGTCATGCCCACGGCCCGCGCAACAGAGTGCGGCAGGGAGAGATGGCCGTCGCCCGTTGTCGTCACCCTTCTTTTTCTTGTGGTCCTCGCGAGCAGCCTGCTCCGAGTGATCGAAACCCAGCGTCTGGAGGCGGCCGAAGGCGCCCTCGGCCATCGTGAGGTAGCTCCAGTCGATCTGGCCATTCGCGGGCCCGAACCAAGGCCTGCGTGACATCGTAGTCCTCCGACAAGGCCCAGCTTGAGCTCTCGAGCTGGCACCTACCCTCGGAGCGCTCGTGGTGGCCGCGCAGGTCGAGACCCTTCTGGCTCACGAACTCGAAACCCCACGGCGCCGAGCGAGGGCCCACCAAATCCCAATCGTTGGAGAGGTCTCCGCCGGCAACATCTGCCACCATCTCGGCCCACGGCCACTCTCGCCTGCCCTGGCGCCTGTCGCGCACGGCCATAGCGCGAGCGTTGCCGGACACCCCCTTGTCGAAGGACCTCGTCTTGATGGCCGCGGAGACGCCCTCCGCGATGAACACCGCCCCATTGGCCAGCACGTGCAAGTCCTTGGTCCTGAGCGCCCGCACCGTCCGCTCGGGGCCCGGGACCGTGACCCCGAGCGGGAGGCCGCCCCCCCCACTCGCCACCGTGCCCCCGCGTCGCGACGCCGGGCTGGGCAGGGCCCCGGCGGGCGCGGGGGGGGGGCGCGCGCCAGAGCACCTGCAGCGGCGGCGGCTCCTGCGTCGAGGCCTCCGCCGCGAGCCGCTCCACGCACCGCCGCAGGCACCGCGCGGCCCGCAGCCGAAAACGCTGGCTCACGGCGTCGATCGGCAGGAGCCACTCGAAGCCCGCGATCGGCGGGAAGTCGCCCTCCGCCACCGCGTGAATGCGGCCCTCCGTCTCGGTCTCCCCCTCGGCAGCCTGCAGGACCTCGGCGTTTCGCGCTCCCGACAGCTCCCGCCTGAAACGGTACCTCCGGCCGCGTGGCGCGCCCACCGACTCGACGCGGTACATCAGGCACCACTGCACCGGGGCCGCGCCCGTGGAAGTCGTCGACCAGTCCTCGGCGTAGACCTCCCCGTATGCAGTGGCTGCCCCGTCCAGCTTACCAACCCACTGCACCACCGCCCCGTACTCCTCCCACTGATGCCAGAGCGGCAGGCCGACCACGTTGTACAGGCCCCAACTCCAACTCATCGTCGCTGTCGCCCTTCCTGACGGCAGCTCGCCCGATGCGCCTCAGCACCCGCGCGCAGCCACAGCCGCCCGACACCACGAGGCCGCCGACCGCGACGTCGAACGAGAAGATCACGTACGCCAGCTGCCCCCGCCCTGGCTCGCTGCACCCCGCCTCCGCCTCCGCGGGCGGGCAGTCGGGCTCGGCAGCCGCGCGCGGTGCCGAACCGCCCAGGCACGCTGGGCAGGCCGGCACCACGCCGTCCCCGCACACCAGCCTTGGACAAGGCAGGCAGTCCGAGGACGGGCAGGCGGGGATCGCTGGGCACCGAGCAGCGAAGTTGACGATCCCCTGGGCCAAATACTCGGGACCGCGCTGGAGCAGCCACTCCCACATGCAACGCCCGCTGGGCGCGAGGGAGGGGGGCCCGAGCCGTGTGAAGCTTGAGCCACCGCAGTTGCGGCGAACAGAACGAATTACTGCTCGGGTCGACTGGGGGTCGAGCGGCTGAGCACCGAAGCGAGACACAGAATTCACGTACGAGTACAACCCATGATGATGATGATGATGATGATGATGATGATGATGATGATGATGATGATGATGATGATGATGATGATGATGGTGATGATGATGATGATGATGATGATGATGATGATGATGATGATGATGATGATGGTAATGGTGATGCTAAGGGTGATGATGATGCTGATGATGAAGGTGACGATGATGCTGCTGCTGATGATGGTGATAAGGAGGATGATGATGTTGATGTTGATAACTGTTATGCTGCTGCTGCTGCTGCTGATGATGATGATGATGAGGAGGAGGAGGAGGAGGAGGAGGAGGAGGAGGAGGAGGAGGCGGAGGAGAACGAAGAGGAGGAGGAGGAGGAGGAGGAGGAGGAGGAGGAGGAGGGAAGAGGAGGAGGCCCTGCTCCGCCTTATAGGCCAGCGGGTACTCCAGCAACTTCGGCTCCTGCACGCGGCTCATCGTGACGGGCGCGGGCCACGCGTAGGCGTTACACAGCCGCAGGTTGTACATGCCCATGGGCTCCTGCACAGTGGCGGCCGCCTGCTCCAGGGGCTGCCGAGGCAGCGAGGAGGCCGAGGCAGCGAGGAGGCCGATGGCGACGAGAAGGATGAACATCAGGATGACGATGACGGAGAAGAGGGCGAGGAGGAGGGTGAGGAGGAGGAGGAACAGGAGGAGGAGAAGGAGGCGGAGGAGGAGGAGGAGGAGGAGGAGGAGGAGGAGGAGGAGGAGGAGGAGGGAGGATGTGGAGGAGGAGGGAGGATGTGGAGGAGGAGGGAGGAGGATGAGGAGGAGGTGGGGGAGGAGCAGGAGGAGAAGGAGAGGAGGACGGAGGACGGAGGAGGAGGAGGGAGGAGGGAGGAGGAGGGAACACGAGCGAGGAGGAGGAGGAGGAGGAGGAGGAAGAGGAGGAGGATGAGGAGGAGGGACTAGGAGGAGGAGGAGGAGGAGGAGGAGGAGGAGGAGGAGAGGAGGAGGAGGAGGAGGAGGAGGAGGAGGAGGAGAGGAGGGAGGAGGGACCCTGTGGAGGAGGAGGAGGAGGAGGAGGAGGAGGAGGAGGAGGAGGGAGGGAGAGAGGAGGGAGGAGGGAGGAGGAGCAGGAGGAGGAGGAGGAGAAGGATGGCAGCATCTTCTAGCGCTGACTCCAAGCACAAGCAAGCGGATGCACTGGGCTCGCTCTGATGCCGCCTGTGCACGAGATGAACTCGCGCCCGTGCGGCCGATGGCGTATGTTGTAGCGCCGTGTATGAGATGCGGGAGCGGCAGGAGTTAGGAGGGCGAGAAGGCACACTGCTGCTCACCCTGCCCACCCTCCTCTTCTTCCGCCTGCGCCTCCTCCTTCCTCTGTCGCCTCCTGCTGCTTCTCCTCCTGCTGTTTCTCCTCCTCCTCCTCCTCCTCATTTCTACACCGCCGCCCGACCATTTTTGGATCCTGGCGACTCTGTGGGAGCGGCGGCCGCTCCGCGCGCGCGAATAGGAGATGTTGTGGTGCTGGTGCTGGTGCTTCCGCTTGGAGGCCTCGTGGGGCTCTATGGAGAGAACATTGGGCTTCTCAGCGAGCCCAGGACGGCCGCAGAGAGACTGGAGGAACTGAAAGCAGCAAGCTCTGTGTCGTATGAACCTGAGGCCAGGACGGCCGCAAAGAGGCTGGAGGAACTGCACAAAAAACCGTCGGGCTCGTCCCAGAAAGCGCGCCAAGGAGTGTCTTTCACATGACCCTAAGGCAAATTAGGACGGCTGCAGAGAAGCTGAAACAGCTCAAAAAACAGTCGGCGTCGTCCCATGGGGAACTCTGGAGGGGTCCCAAAAAGGAGCCGGAATGGGTCAAGTGCGGCGACTTGGGGTGAACGATGAAAACAAAGGGGAAAAAACAGTCCGGGTTTGTTTGCGGCTCCTGGAAGAGCCCCTGGAGGCTCTGAGGGGGCGCCCCAGATGGGCGAACTACAATAGGTGCGAGAGACTGTCAGGACGGTCGTCAGATGGCCGCAGGAGCCAGCGGAGACGCACGGGAGCCCCGAGAGAGGCTCAAGGAGAAGTGCGAGAAGGCCAGAATCATCGAAATCCCACATGTTTTACGATGTTTTTTGCTTGTTGGGGTGTTCTGGCGCATGTGGCTCGAAAAGAAATGGAAAAGGCATCTGAAACTGCTCAAAGTGGCCAGAAGGAGAATGCAAATGAGCCCAGGAGAGCCTCGGGAGGCCCGAAAAGCCGGCCCAGTGGGCTCCTGGAGAGGTCCCTGAAAGCGGCTGGCGGCGCCTGGAAGGCTAGCGCGTGAGAAGGGGGTCGTCTTGGGACGGAGATGGCGGCCAGAAGGCGCCCCGGCCGCAGCCGGGGCCCCCTGGCCAGCGGAATGAGCGAGGCCCGGGGATGACCCTAAGAGAGAGCGTGATCCACCGCCACTTTACTATGGAAAATTGCCAGCCTTTTCCTCCGGAACCCGGGGGTCCCCCCCCTCCCCCCCCTCCGAAAATCCCCCCTCCTCTGCTGGACCCCCCCTCCCTCCCTCCCCCAGCAAAACCCCCTCCCCCCTCCCTACCCCCCCCCCCCCCCCCCTCCCCCTCGAAAACCGGGAGGGGTCACTACCGGTTCGAACCCCCCCCCCTCGAAAACCGGAGGGCCGGAGGGGGGGTCACTACCTGTTCGAACCCCTCCCCACCCCCCTACTCACCGCCAGCAAACGACTCCGACTCCCGGTCCCTACCACCGTCCGCGCCACATCCCCCACTGTTGTTCCCAGCACCACTGTCCTCACCACCACTGTCCCCACTGGTTCCACCACCGTTCCTACTGTCCCCAGAAGTGCTCCCACCACTGTCGCACTGTCCCCGCTGTCCCCACCACTGTTCCCACCACGGTTCCACTCTCCCCACTTTCTCCACGGCCCCAACCACTGCCCGACTATCCCCACTGTCCCCACTGTCCCCACTGTCCCACTGAGCTGTCCCACTGTTCCCACCACTGTCCCCACCACTGTCCCCACTGTACCTCTGTCCCATTGTCCCACCGCCGTCCTCGCCACCGCCTTCACCACTGTCCCCACCACCACTGTACCCTCCACTGTCCCCCTGTTTCCACCTCCCCGTCCCCACACCACCGTCCCCACCACCACCGTCCCCACCACTGTCCACTGTTCCCACTGTTCCCACCATTGTCCTCACCACTGTCCCCACCACTACCGTCCCCACCACTGTCCCACTCTCCCCATCACTGTCCCGCTGTCCCCTCACCACTGTCTCCACCACCACCGTCCCCACCACTGTCCGCACCCCCCCTTGTTCGAACCGGTAATGACACCCCCCGGTTTTCGAGGGGGAGGGGGGGGGTGTTCGAACCGGTAGTGACCCCCCCCTTTTTCATGATGAACTGGGGGGGGGGGAGGGGTTCGAACCCGTAGTGACCCCCCCCGGTTTTCCGGAAGGGGGGGGGGGAGGGGTTCGAACCGGTAGTGACCTCCCCGGTTTTCCGCCAGCAGCGGTAGAACACGCTCTTTCCTAGGAAGGGTTGCAAGGGCTCAGAGGCAGGGGTAGGTATGAAAAGCGCTGGAGAGAAGACTTGCACAAAGTACTATTGAAGACCATGCTGTGGATCTCACACGCCGTACCCGGTTGGGCGACGGATCCCCCTCCTTTCTCTGAAGGAATCGCTTCGCTCATTCCGCCAGCCCATATTGCCTCGCCGCTGTCGTTTGTCGGGCTGCCATTTTTCGGAGGCGGTGGGTGGTGGGTCATAGGCCTCATCGATGTTGGTTGAGCTCTCGTGGTTGGCCTCTCGGGGGCCTCTGGGAGGCACTTTGGAGGCCTCTTGGGAGCCTCTTGGGGCTTTTTGGGGTGCCTCTTGGGGGCCCCTTGTGGCCTCTTGGGGACCTCTTGGGGCCTCCTGGGGGCCCCTTGGGGCCGAGGGCTGGACCTTTCGGTTCCTGGTCCCCTTCTTGGCCCCCTCCTGGGGCCGTTTTGGGGCCCTCTTGGGCCGTCTTGGGACCCTCTTGGGCTCTCTTGGGCCCATCTTGGGGGCGCGTTGGGCCGTCTGGGGAAGATTTTGGAGGCCTCTGGGGCAGTTCTGGACGCTGTGAACTCTCAAACGTCGTACATGCGAAACATGTACGTTTTTGCTGGTGGGACGAATCGTGCTTGTGGGGGTTAGAGAGCCTCTTGGGGCTTTTTCGCTGCCTCTGAGGCCATCTGAAGACCATCTTGAGCGGCGTAGAACGATCTTTCGGCGATTCGGGGCCTCTTGGGCCGTGTAGGGGGCGTCCCGGCGCCCTCTTGGCGCGCTCCTGGAGCGCCCTGGGGGAGTCGGCCGGGCATCGACTGGGCGTCGTCCCGGCATCGCCCGGGGTGCTTTTCGTCCGGGGGTCCTCAAGGGCCGCCACGCGCGCGCGAACTAAAAATATGGTTAACCTGTAACCGGAGATCTTAACACGCCCGATGGGCTGGCATATTCCTCGGGCTCCTTCTCCTCGCTCCTCCTGCTTGCTCCTCCAGCCCTCCTCCTCGTCCTGTCGCTCGCCTGCCCAAGACCGACAAAACGAGGAGAAGGGGTGAAACGGGAAGCGGGGGAAGGTACAAGCAGAAAGGGTGGCGCAGAAGGAGGAGGATGAGGGGGGTGGGAGAAGAAGGGGGGAGAAGAAAAAGAAGAAGAAGAAGGATGAAGTGGGATAAGAAGAAGGAGGTGCAGCAGGGAGGGAGGAGGGGGAGGAGGAGGAGGAGGAGGAGGAGGAGGAGGAGCAGGAGGAGGAGGAGGAGGAGGAGGAGGGTGGTGATGGTGATAACGACGACGACGAAGACAACGACGATGATAATGGTGACGGTGATGGTGGTGATGGTGATGATGAGGTGCAGCAGGGAGGCAGGAGGGGGAGGAGGAGGAGAAGGAGAAGGAGGAGGAGGAGGAGGAGGAGGAGGGGGGGGAGGAGGAGGAGCAGACGCAGGATGAGGAGCAGGAGGAAACCGAGGAGGAGTTGGAGCAGGAGGAGGAGGAGGAGCAGGAGCAGGAGCAGGAGCAAGCCACGAACCGCCGAGCGATTGAGGCGTGTCAATGGATTTAGGTATCAATCCCTCAGGTCACTACGGCCACAACGTTAGCATCCAACCCGACTTGGCATCGCCGACAGCGAGAACAGCGAGCAGCAGCACGAGTGCTACTACGAGTCGCCGCAGCGCGTGAACTCCTCGACCACGACATCCCGTACCAGCTCCTTGGAGCGCACCGCAGCGCTCCACAACCATCACCACTTCTACTTACCCCACGTCCCAGCAATGGCGACATCATGGGGAACAACAACGAGTGGATGGGGAACTGCGCCACCACCGTGGAGGTCGACACCGAGCCGCTCACGAGGCAGAGGAGCCACGCCGCAATCTACTACACCGGCGGAGCAGGCCTTGAGCGCTGGAGGAACTACAGCTGGACGGACCAGTGGGCCAAGGAATACCCCGACACGTACTGGAACCAGACCCACTGCGGCAGGGGCAACAACCACAGTGGCACGGGAAACGCCACCAAGAACGACTACGAGACCGACAGCCAGAGCCAGAAGGGCAATACCAAGACCAACAAGGGCAAGGGTAAGGCAAAGCCCCAACCCGAACAGGAAAAGACACCCAGAAAGAAGGACACGAACCAGGGCTACAACGACCAAATCACCAGCACCATCAATAATGTCATGCCGATGAGGGAGATCTCCGCCACCAGGAGACATGACTGGGAGATACCATCAAACGACCCCAAGTTGAGAGATGATCGGAACACATCAAATACATGGAGCAGAGGCGTGCGACAACAGCTATCGCGAAAAAAGCAGTGCAGCAGTCTCGCCCATGACCAACGCAGTCACGCCATCGCCTTCAACAAAGCCATGATTCTCAACAGCATGCCCCTAGCCCAACAGGAAAGGGAGATCGACAACACCAAGAGGACCATGGAGGACCTCTACGAGCATACCAAAGCCCACCATAACCAGATACATAAATACATGAAGGAGCTGGAGAACAACATTGAGGAGATCAACGTCTTGCAGCGGGACATGGACAACGCCAGGGACGATAACTACAGCGAAACAGGAGCCGCCGACGATGAAACTAACAAGCCACAAACGGATACGCCGCCAAAGAGGACGCCTACACCAGTACCACGGAGACAAACAAGAGCTGGGGAAACCATCGAAGGACGAGAAATCGGCACACTGCTCAAGACGCTTAAGGAGGACAACCAGCGCATGGCAAAAGGCATCAAACATAACAACGAAGAGGCCACCAACGAGACCTACGCCCTCAGGAAACACCTTCGAGAAGCCGAGGAGCCATCACATGAACATGCCGAAAAGCAACGTAGCGAAGCAACAACGACCAAGCACAACCACACGAAACCCATGAACGGGACCCACAATCCCGAGCTCACCACCGAGAAGATGGCTGCTCACCATGAGTTCTACAGGTAAGAAGCATACCAGCCCTCAGTAGGACAGAGGAGGAGCTTCAGGCTGTCAATGCACCCTCCAAGACAAATCACGCCCAGGAGCTGGCCGTCCAGTCCTAGAGGGAGCTCAGAGAGGCGCAGGATACATTCATCGATAACACCAAGGGCCGCGCCATCAGAGAGTAACAATTACTGCAAGCGCAGATCATTTCAGCGGGCAACGAACTCAAGTACTCCAACAACAACACCAACAAGTACAACACTAGCAGCATCATGATGATCCTCAACGATACGGCTAAAGAGGAAAGTATGCTACAACAGGCACATGGGGAGCTACGACCATGAACAGAGACACATGGAAGCAACGGTATGTGGTGCACGTGGGGAATACCAACATTTGGTCGACGACATCGAGCGCCTGGTCAGAAGAGGGGTCGCAGAAAAGGCACAACAACAAGGCTACCTGCAGAAATTACTTACCGATATGAGCGAGCACGAGCAGCAGGCGCTACGAGGTCGTACAGGCCGAGGGGCAGGTACAGCTCGCCATACAGAGAGCCGACACGGGCACAGCAGAGCGACACGGTGCCTTCCAGCACGGGGTACGAACCTACCACCGGACGGAGACCGAGCGGAGGAGCAGGAAGGAGATGCACGAGGAGCGCAAGGAGGCAACCGAGGAGTACCACCAAGCCCGTCACGATGTGGCAGTAGCACAAGAGCGACTCAACAACGCGGAGATGGCTGAGGCCACCGAGCAGACCCTCAACACGGGTATCCTCACCGACGACAGTGAGCAGCCAGAACAATTGCTCCCACCAGTGCAGCCGTTCACGCCCCACCAGGTGAAGATGAGGAACCGCAGCCTACCCATAGCCAGAGCGACGAGACGGCCAGGGAGACGGACATCTTCGGAGCATTTGCATCGCAACCTGAAGTACCAGAGCCAGGATCGTACTACACTTCTACGCCGACGAGACCACCGATAGCTCCGACTACGCCATCCGCAACACATCAGCCAAACGATCCGCAGGACTGGCCTACACCGATAGCATGGTCGACATAATCCATATCGCCAGGGCAGCCGAACCCTCCGACCGAGATTACCAGCATCGACGTCGACACCCCTTCCCCGATGGCGAAAAGAGACGATGACATCACCACAACGGAAGAGATGACGCCGAAAGCCATCAGCCCGCTACGAGGATTTATCGTCACGCCTGGCAGAGGTTCATTCGTACCACCTGTGCGGAAACACCCTGCACCAGCAACACAAGGAGCTCAAGCACACTAAGGACCCCAGCGAGCCGCATCATATGGTATCCTTTACAACCGATGCATTCGAAACCACCGACTTTGCTACGAGTGACGACGCAGCCGACATTGGTGGGGATGGCATGGGATCCTTCTGACGGTCCCGAAGCGGCGTTGGAACAACTATAGGCCACGCAGCACATGGTGAGTATGGAATACCACCACCTACACATAACCCGTCCAGGTATGACCCACAGTGACGGGACGACCCTGACCTCCAAACGATGGAGGACATACTTCAGACGGGCAGACTACGAGGCCCTGACCTACCACGCGGACCTGTCATGGCGCCGTTCAGGCGGCGTGCAAAGCCAGGCAGCTCCCGCATTCAGGGCGATGGAAAGCTGGAAAGATGGACGACGTAGTGAACACACGGTGACCACTACCATTGCCAGAAGCATTTTGACGGCGCCACAGGGCACCACGACACCAACACGGGCAACGGATGGGACGCGACTGCGACCTGGCGAACAAGAATTAGAGGAGGCTGCGGGATACCGATTCCAACCTCGACGAACGCACGACCACCCTCAGATAGATATGGCAGAAGACCACCGCATAGGTGGAAGCAACATATCGCACACCCGTGCTGAGGGACCAGCTACGGCGGTCATTACCCACCACGTCCACCAACGACGGAGGTCAACCAATGAGGAACCCTGCTCCGTGCGAGAAGGCCATGCGCAGGCAGACCACACAGAGAGGCGTCCAGCGAGAGACGCGGTTCGATCCACCTTCAAAATGAATGACAGAACCGATCGCCGACGTACTCAGACGCGCCTCCCCACCCCACCTTGCAACGTATTTCATTGACCTGCACGAACCAGAAAGGTTCCACCCAGCAGCTATCATGGCACTGGAACTTGCCCCTCCCAGAACACATGGAGTGATCAAGCGGATACACCTAGACACCGCTGGCACCCACCAAAACGACTTCATCAAAGACGCATGGGCTGTGATGATCACCATCGAGGACGAGGGCGGCTTCGCCTACGTCGGGACCATGCAGCCAAAGTCGCGGATTCTACCTCGCCTGGCATAGACAAGGCTACATCGACTACCTCAGAGTTGACGGCTCTAATATGGGCTTGCGCTTGGATTTGCAGCCAAGCACCAGCATACAAGAACCTGCCAACGACGGTCCATACCGATTCAAAAATTGCTATTGGACTGGCAAAGGGCCGATACACACCGGACAACAACCACGACTTCGTCGCTCTCACCATACAGCTATACCGGTTGGTCTCCACATCCACCCAGCTCCACACTGGCCACGTCTATGCACACAACGGCCACCCGTGGAACGAGCTGGCCGACTCTTTGGCAAAGAGACGAAGCCTACGAGACGACGCAAGCCCGCAACCAGAGTGGGCTGACGTATTTGACGCTGAGTACCACAGGAAATGGGAGTGGCTACAGCAAGCAGACGACGATACCCGAAGGGCATACCCCGATTTCACCGACCACGGCTTGAGCGCTGGAGTGCTTACAGCTGCAGCCACACCACGGCAAGAACAAACCAGCAAGGAAGCCGCCGTCATCCTCGATACCATGACCTGTAATGTCCGTTGCTTCAAAGGATCAACCCACACAGGAAGGGAGCAGCACATGAGGACAACGAACTAGAGCTCATCAGCCACCAGTTGAAGCACATGAGCATCCACCTCGTCGGCATGCAGGAGAACCGACTGCCGATAGGTACGACCAGAATGCATGGGTTCCACGCAATCTCAAGCGGGGACGACAAGTACGACCTAGGCTGCTTGCTACTTGTAAACCCCGACCTATAGAGAGCTACACTCGCCCCTACCACTTCAAGCCTTCTAACCTGGCGAGAGTGGGCAGGGCACGCCACCGCCCACTGACCGCCCACTTTGCTTGTTTTTTTTTTTTTTTTTTTTCATAGCGAAGCAAGGCCAGCTGGGTATTCAGTACCCTGACCTGCTGCCTGCTGCCACCGCCCACTGACCGCCCACTGCCGCCGCTGCTCTTGCAACCTGCACCACCCTCAGCCTGTCTCACCGCCTGCTGCCACTTCAACCCTTCGCCGCGCTTCTACACCTCCCCCCCGCCTCTGCTAAGTAGGGGATCTCCGCCGACCACTGTAGGCACCTCAGAACCAGGGCGCTGGCCCAACAGGGCCAGTAGAACCGAAGGAGGGGGGACCCAAACTGCGCCCACGGGCCTCCCACCTTTTCCACACTGCTGCCGCCACGAGCTTGAGTCCCCGCCTCCATCTGCTTCTTCGAGATCATGATGTTTCTCCCTCCATATTTTGATCAACCCTAGTTTGATCAACCCCAGGTTGATCAACCCTAGTTTGATCAACCCTAGCCTGACCATGAGGGTCACCTGGCCCTCGTTTGATCACCCCCCCCATGGCCGACAGGCCCTGGGGGGGGGAAGCTCCGTCGGTAGACCATGCAGCCACCAGGAACCAGGAAGAGCAGGATGAGGAGCAGGAGGATACCGAGGAGGAGGAGGGGGAGGGGGAGGAGGAGGAGGAGGAGGAGGAGGAGGAGGAGGAGGAGGAGGAGGGGGAGGAGGAGGAGGAGGAGGAGGAGGAGGAGGAGGAGGAGGAGGGGAGGAGGAGGAGGAGGAGGAGGAGGAAGAAGGAGGAGGGAGGAGGAGGAGGGTGGGGGAGGAGTCGCCTGCTCCAGCTGCGGCGGTTCGCCGGCGCCCGCGGCCGGAGGGGGTAGGGTCTGCTCGGCCTGTGCAGGCTCCGCCGCGTCAGGTTGCGGAAGGGGGCAAGGCCCGAGGGGACTCTGGCTCGGACGTCGCGCTGCCAATCCACCAGCACGAGCTCCTCCTCCTCCTCCTCCTCCTCCTCCTCCTCCTCCAGCCCTCGCTCCTCTCACCCCCTCGCCTCTCTCTCCTCCTCTTCCGTCTCCTCCTCCTCTCCCTCCTCCCTCCTCCTCCTCCTCCTCCTCTCTCCTCTCCTCCTCCTCCTCCCTCCCGTCCTCCTCCTGCTCCTCCTCCTTCTGCTCTTCCTCTTCCTCTGCCTCGGGCGACTGCGACGGCGATGGCGGCGGCGAGGCGGGAAATCAAATGATCCGCCGGCCCCCTTGTGGGGCCACCAGGCTGTAGGAGCGGGATTCGCAGTTTCCTGTGCCAGTTGTAGCTTGTAGTTTCCAGTGTTGCAGTTCTGCTTATTGCTGGTTACTGTAACTAATTGATTGACCGCGCGAGGGGGGGGAGGCCCAAACCGGCTTTTTAGCACTCCCTGGGCGCGTTGTCTGAATTGCTGGCTCGAAATCGACACCCCTCACGCAGATCCGCGGGGTCAGGGTCCAAAAACACAGGGGATTTGCCACATTTCTGAAATTCGGTGCCACCCCTCACGCAGATCCGCGGGGTCAGGGTCCAAAAACACATGGGATTTGCCACATTTCTGAAATTCGGTGCCACCCCTCACGCAGATCCGCGGGGTCAGGGTCCAAAAACACATGGGATTTGCCACATTTCTGAAATTCGGTGCCACCCCTCACGCAGATCCGCGGGGTCAGGGTCCAAAAACACAGGGGATTTGCCACATTTCTGAAATTCGGTGCCACCCCTCACGCAGATCCGCGGGGTCAGGGTCCAAAAACACAGGGATTTGCCACATTTCTGAAATTCGGTGCCACCCCTCACGCAGATCCGCGGGGTCAGGGTCCAAAAACACAGGGGATTTGCCACATTTCTGAAATTCGGTGCCACCCCTCACGCAGATCCGCGGGGTCAGGGTCCAAAAACACAGGGGATTTGCCACATTTCTGAAATTCGGTGCCACCCCTCACGCAGATCCGCGGGGTCAGGGTCCAAAAACACAGGGGATTTGCCACATTTCTGAAATTCGGTGCCACCCTTCACGCACATCCATCGCAAGGCGTGGTAACCCAAACTGCGAGAACTCCCTCGGCCCTTTAATCGCAAGGTGTGGTAACCAAGCCCGTAAACCATACACGTCTTACCAATCGCCAGGTGTGGTAACCCCTCTTGTGATCAGTTGGTTTTGCTGATTGCGAATCGGCTTCGCATGAAGTTTCGATACTGCTTCACGACAGCGCCAAGGCCTCATGACTTAGCTCTTCCATGGCCCATTCTCCGAGAGAGGGGGCCAGCGGCAGGGGGCGAAGCCCTTACGGATAACGAGACGAGATGGTGCTTCACGAGCGGCGAACGTATCCATGTCCACGCCCTCGCGGTCTGGGTTATTGGGCGTCATCCCGCAAATGCGCGGTCGCACGGAGACGCTCCGAGCAGGGCATCCGCGAAGAAAACGCGCCCCATATCCTCGGGGTCGCGGCCCAGGGGCCCGGCCCACGAGGCCGCGGACATGGATGTGCCTTTCGCCCACGAATGCTCCTTCTTCTTACTTTTCTCGCGCTGCTGTCCGAGGGCCTGGCCCGGGCGCGGGGGTAAGCGCAAGGTCTGCAGCGACCGCACTCTCGGGTGCACGCAAGAGGGATCCTGGAGGCGACGCCGTGGTCGGTTTTCTGCCGCCTTCGGGTTCCTGGGGTCTCTCCCCTATGCCCCGGGACGGCAACTAGACAGCCCGGGATGAAAATTGAGCCGCAGGGAGAGCTCCAGGGTCCAGGACCCGTTTCCGCCACGACCCTTGGGCTTCATGCCAATTCCAAATGCAGGGGCGGGGGAAGGGACCAGCCGCGGGCTACATTAAAAAGGACCCAATTGCAGTGGCGGAAACCAGCGAACACCACTGAGAAAGTCACACCTTCTCGGGCGATTTGCCATCGGCTGCCGCTGCTGGTAATTGAGCCGCAGAAAGGGCGTGAACGGCTCTTTGACGGAGTGGCCCCACACTGAGGCTTTGAGGCCCTCGCTTTGGGCCAAGCAAATGCGCACGATGAACCAGAGGGTTCGACGTCGGTGGAATGGCAAGGATTTGCACGATGTAACCACGAATCCAGAGCATCGTGTAATCATGCCTGAATCGAACTCGGGGGCAGTAGTAGGTGCAAGCAAAACCGTGCACGTGTATGTGTACATTTTCGGGGGCCACATTGGGTAGCTTGCCACCCGAACTTTCGAAGAACAGCGGCTGGGCGATTCTGACGACTCATCCTCGCCATTCGCTTTCTGGGCCAAGCTCTGAACTGAGGTGTTCAATGTCGTCTTGGCGAAGTGAAGAGTATTGCCAGCTTCCAGACTGCAAGCAGCTTTACGGCAATGCTATCCTATGGCTTTCGGTATAACCGAAGGCAAGTGCGACCACTCGCATACCTTGCAATTGTGGACTCAATGGTCCCAAGCTCACAAAACAAATTGCCATTCAAAAGTGCGCGAGCTTCTGTCAATTTGTGGCGCTTGCCCAGGCCTCAAACGCTACGTGCGATGGGCGGCACTGGCGTGCTGAATGGGCCACTGGAATCTAGACGCACTCTGTCCTCCTCCTCCCTCCTCCTCCTCCTCCTCCTCCTCCTCCTCCTCCTCCTCCTGCGCCTGTCCCTCCTGGCTCTCCCAGCGGGTGCCCGTCAAGGTTCGATGCGCGCCCTGTGGTCTGGAGGGTTGTGGCCGCCTGCTCGCAAATTCGACGCGGGCCTGGCTCCGTCAGCTCAGTGCACCTTCTGTGGAGCGGAGCGAGGGTCGATGGGGCAGGTTTCGGTTCACGGACGGGTCTGGGCTCCATAGCTCGGTGCCCGAGGCCACTAGATGCGGCTGGAGCGTGGTTGAGATTTCTGACGATGGATGGCCATTGAGGGCCAGATTTGGCGGTCTCCCAGGGCGTTTTCAAACGGTCCCCAGGAGCGAGAGGTGGGCGGGGCTAGATGCCATCGCCCTCGGCCCCTCGGGAGGCCTGCCACCTGTCATAATTAGCGACCACCTTTCGTTTGTCAATGAAGGGCGAGGCTGGGACCCCAACCTTGAGTGCGGTACCTCAGCCCACGCGTCGATTTGGCGCAAAATCTTCCTTGTCTGCTCCCAGCACGCTCTGCGTCCTGAGTTCCACTGGACTCCTGCACACTTGTCGCTCCAGGGGTTAATCGATCAGGATGCGGGCGCTGGTGATATATGGCGTTTCATGGGTAATGCTTGGGCCGATTTCTTTGCCAAGCTCGGAGCCCAGGACATCGCTGTTGCTGATGTGGCGGTTGCGTCGCTCCAGGCCGCCATAAGCGATTGCAAATTGTCGTGCCAGTTTCTCTCACGAGCCGTCCAGATAATCTGTGCTCGTCCCGAGGTCTCCCAGGCGCCTGCTGCTCCAGTGCCGGCTCGGGCCCCAGGGCCCCGTGCGCCCCAGCTGGTGTTAGTGGCTCATGACACCGTGCCCCTGGCTCCTGGGTCCTCGGCGGTTCAGTGCAGGCTCTGTCTGGCCGTTGCTCGGACCCCAGCCAGTTGCAAATCGCTGCTGAAACCAGGGGCGCGGTGCGAGCCTGGCCCAATGCTGCGCCAGCTAGCGGCTGCTACCGAGCGGCTGGGCTGGCGGCAGCACGTCTCCGGGGAGGGGGAGGCTGCCCTTGCCGCTGCTGCTGCCGCTATGGAGGCGGAGGCGGGGGGATACTTGTTCGAGTGCGACGGGCACAGGATCCACCGTGCAGGGCCTTTCCTGTACTGTGGCCGCTGTGGGGCCCGAGTGGCTTTGGGGTCTCCCAAGTTGGATGCCCTTGGAGCCCCGTGCCCGCCGGCACCCCCGAACCCAGCCCGTCGGCGAGCCAGGGATTGGCTTGCCGAGGGCAAACATCCAGCGTCAGGCGTTCCTTTCTGACTTGTGATGCGGGGGGGAGGCCTGTCGGGTGCCGCCCAGTTCGCCTGAGCTGGGTTGGTGCCGTCAAAACATCGATGGCCTCCCTCCGCACCGTGTAAGTGTGCAATTATCGGTCGAATGCTTCCGGCCTGGAGTGCTGGTGATTTATCACGCTCCCCCGTTTCATTTTATATAGTCGCCGTCGCGTTCCCGGATGCTTCGACGTTCTATGCTGCGTCCTGCGTCCTCCTCCTCCTCCTCCTGAGACAGCAACAGAATTGTCCCAGTGCGACCCTACCTAGGAGTTGGAGCCCCCTAGGAAAGCAACATGTAGTAACAGTAAAGCTAAGCTAAAACTAAGCTAAAGCTAAGCTAAAGCTAAGCTAAAGCTGAGCTAAAGCTAAGCTGAAGCTAAGCTAAAGCTAAGCTAAAGCTAAACTAAAGCTAAGCGACAGCTAAGCTCAAGCTAAGCTAAAGCTAAGCTGAAGCTAAGCTCAAGCTAAGCTCAAGCTAAGCTCAAGCTAAGCTCAAGGTAAGCTCAAGCTAAGCTAAAGCTAAGCTAAAGCTAAGGTACAGCTAAGGTAAAGCTAAGCTAAATCTAAGCTAAAGCTAAACTAACGTTAAGCGACAGCTAAGCTACAGCTAAGCTAAATCTAAGCTGAAGCTAAGCTAAAGCTAAGCTAAAGCTAAGCTAAAGCTAAGCTAAAGCTAAGGTACAGCTAAGGTTCAGCTTAGGTAAAGCTAAGCTAAAGCTAAGCTAAAACTAAACTAAAACTAAGCTAAAGCTAAGCTAAAGCTAAAGCGAAAGCTAAAGCTAAAGCTCCCAGGGGACTGGGGGAACCGCTCCCGGCGGATGCCGGGGGAACCGCCCGGGGCGATTTCCACTGCCCGCCCTTTTAAGCACATAGAGTAAGAACCCTTCTAGGCAGAGCCTTGGTGAAATAAGCTAAGCTAAGATGAGATAAGCAACGCTAAGCTAAGGGGACGTAACTGAGGGAACCGCGGGGCGGATGCCGGGGGAACCGCCCGGGGCGATTTCCACTGCCCGGCCTCTTTAAGCCCATAGAGTAAGAACCCTTCTAGGCAGAGGAGCCTAGGTAGGGAATCAAATCGACACAACACACCCACGGAGCTCCGCTAGGAATGCGACGAAGACGACTTGCAACTCCACTCCCTGGACCAACCAGACGCGCCCCAAACAACAGGCCGTGCTGCGAACGCTCAGCCAGCTCTTCTGCTCCCCCCTCCGCCCCCATCCTTCGTGTGGCCCCCTCGTGCTGCAAATACCGCTGAATGACCAAGGTCTGACTCGAAACATGGATTGGCGAATAGGGAGAGACTGAGCACACTGCAAAGAGATGGGAGGGGTGGGACGTCACATGTGGCGCCAGCGCACCTAGGTCGTCGTCGTTTCTCCTTCTCTTCCTCTTCCTCCTCCTCCTCCTCCTCCTCCTCCTCCTCCTCCTCTTCCTCCTCCTCCTCCGTTCCTCCTCCTCCTCCTCATTCCCCGTTCCTCCTCCTTCTCCCCCTCCTCCTCCTCCTCCTCCTCCTCCTCCTGCTCTGTCCTCTGTCCTCTGTCCCCTGTCCCCTGTCCTCCTCCTCCTCCTCCTCCTCCTCGTCGCCGACCTCCTCGCCAGACTGCGCCGCTGGGCCCTGCTGCAGCATCTGCAGGGGGGCGGAGGCGCGGCGCGGCTGGGGATGTCCAGGCGCCTTCCGACGACGACGACGGCGACGACGACGCCGGAGACGACGACGATGGCGACGACGATGACGATGATGATGACGACGACGACGATGCTGATGATGGGACGACGATGCTGCTGCTGATGATGATGACGATTATGTCGACGATGATGACGATGATGATGCTGATGATGAGACGACGATGATGCTGCTGCATTAGGTGATGATGACGACGACAAGGACGAGGACAATGGTGCTGATGACGACGATGAGGATGCTGATGACGATTAGGATGATGATGGTGATGATGATGACGGTATGATGATGCTGCTGATGGTGACGATGCTGATGATGATGAAGATGCTGATGATGACGACGATGTTGTTGATGATGATGATGATTATGAGGCGGATGCTGATGATGCTGCTGCTGATGATAGCGATAATGATGCAGGTGATGCTGATGCTGATGATGTCGCTGCCGACGCTGATGATGAGGTTGTTGACGATGATGATGATGATGCTGATGACGATGACGATGACGATGATGATGATGATGATGATGATGATGATGATGATGATGATGATGATGATGATGATGATGATGATGATGATGATGAGGTTGTTGACGATGATGATGCTGATGACGATGTTGATGATGATGATGATGATGATGATGACGATGATGCGGGTGATGATGATGCTGTTGATGCTGCTGCTGACGATGCTGATGAGGATGATGACGACGGTGATGATGGTGGTGGTGATGATGACGACAACGACGATGACGGATGGCGATGACGACGATGCCAACGACGACGATGCCTTGTGAGGGCGGTCGCCAGTCGGCAGGCGCCCGACGCCCGACGCCGCGTCGGCGTAGAAGGAGGGAGGAGGGGAGGGGACGACGAGGGGGAGGATGACGAGGCGGAGGATGACGAGAGCTCGGGGGGGGGGGGCAGGCCAAGAAGGGGCTGAGGAGGGAGGCGGGGTGACTTGGAAGAGGAGGAGGAGGAAGAGGAGAAAGAGGAGGAGGAAGATGAGAAAGAGGAGGAGGAAGATGAGGATCAGGGGGAGGACGAAATGGAGAAAGAGGATGACATGATGGGGTTGGGAGAAGGGAGATCTTGTAGGATGGAGGGGGGATGGTGATGATATTGATGATGTTGCTGATGATGATGATGATGATGATGATGATGATGATGATGTTGATGTTGTTGTTGTTGTTGATGATGATGGTGATAATGGTGATGATGATTATGCTGAGGATGATGCTGCTGCTGCTACTGCTGCTGCTGCAGATGATGACAATGATGATGACGCGGACAAGGACGCGAGAAAGATGGGAAAAGGTGGTGATGGGCGGAGAGGGGTAACGGGGGAGACTGAACAAGTGATGAGGCGGGCGAGGCAAATGAGGCAGGATGGGAAAGCGGAGGAGGAGGAGGAGGAAAAGGATAGAAGCAGAGAGAGGGGGAAGGGGTGGATTAAAGGGGGAGGGGGAGGAGGCGGAGGAGGAGGAGGAGGAGGAGGGATGACCCGTGTCAACCCAAGAGGCATCAATGATGTTGCAAGTGTCCCCCCTTCCAAGTTCCCTCTTCATAAACCCCTACAAGAAATCTTCATTGCTGGAAGTGCACTATTGAATGACTACTGTATGAGAAACCTCAATCCTGCCAAAACCAAGTTCTTGGGATCCCAACGCCGCGAATCAACGTGACTATTGCGTACTGATGGCCCTAAATCGTGCCAGAGCAGAATTCTGGGGACTCCAACACCGCGAACCAACCTCACTGTTGCGCCCTGAAAATCCTAAGTGGTGCCAGAGCACACTTCCTGGGACTTCAATCCCACGATCTCTGGTATCTGCTGCAAGCATTTAAAGCAAATGTGCGCGGCGCTAAAATTAGAACACCATTGTCAAACTGAAGCGGCCTCCGACAGTGAAACGGTTGCGACCTGTTCAGACGAATGTGCGCGGCTCAGAGGCGAGAGTAGCATTTTGAAAACGACGTGTGCTTCATGTTTGAAGCTGTTGAAAAGCTCAAGCTTCAGAACCATCAATGGCGAGGAAGTATTGGGCGAAACGCCCATCCCGGCCAACCGACACGTCTGGGGGTGCGACAGAGAGGAGTTATCTTCAAGAAACAGGATGGAGGAGGAGGAGGAGGAGGAGGAGGAGGAGGAGGAGGAGGAGGACCTGACCGTCCAGCCGCGCGGCCCGCTGCTGCGTCGATGGCCGCGAACTCGCCAGCTGCGGCTGGCCGTGGCGGTGCAGTCGCTGCCTCTGCAGGAGCTGCTGCTGCTGCTCGAGGAGCAGATCCTGCTGCTCCTGCAGCTGCTGGAGCTGCTGCTGAGTCTGCTGCAGCAGTGTCTGCTGCTGCGGCCGCTGATAAAGGCCGCCCTGCTGCTCAGCGTCGGCACGCGCCTCCTCGTGCTGCAATGCGGAAACGCTGCACAGGGCGGCCAGCAAAGTCGCAAAATGGATCATCTCACAACGTTCGGTCTCAGAACTTGTGCATGCATGGAGTCAGGACTGGCGCTGCACGACCGCCTTTCGAGCCGCCAACCGCTCAAGCGACGAGCGCCAATGCACGCGGAGACGGAGGCAAGCTAGAGTGGGCGGGAGAGGAGACGAGGAGGTGAGGGGCGAGGGTGCAAAGAGTCATCGAGTTCTGTATACCCATCGCCCCTCGGGGGTATCAAAAAGACACTCGGAGGAGGCGAGGGACGAAGGCTCTCTGCACCCTCGAGTTCTTTTCAGAACCGTGGGCGCCGCGGGGCCCCGCCCGCGGCCCACTGCGGCCCGCGCCGGCGGGCCCGTGGGCCGCTGTTGCGGGCCCGCGGGCCGTTGCCCCCGGGGGCCCGCTGCCGCGGCCCCCCCCCCCCCTCCACTTCCGTCTTTTGGCAGCTAGTGCCAGAACCCTCAGTTCATGCGCGCCCGCTCGAGGGCTGTGCACTTCCCGTATGGCTGCTAACTCCTGGGCCCCTCATCCCACGCGCACCCGCTCGAGGATCGGGCACTTCCCCCGCATTCCCAGGCGGTGCTCCCAAGCGCTCCAGGGCCCCCCAAACAACGATCCCTCCTTACAGACAACGGATGACTATGCGTTCCGAGCTTCCAAGACGGCCCGTGCAGGCAACCAAGGACACCAAGATGGCCCAAGATGCCTCGAAGACGGCTCACAATGGCCCCACGGCGGCTGAATTTCGGTTCAAGACGGTCCAAGATGCCTCCAAGAGGGCCCGAAATGGCCATAAGAGGATCTCCAACAGGGCCCGAAGAAGCCAAAGCCATTGATTCACTCTTCGGGCTTTTGGGCGATGTTCGTATTCTCGCCTTTTCGGGCTGCCGTCAGCTCAAGACGGCCCAAGAGGGTTCCACGATGGCCCAAGAGGCATCCAAGACGGCCCAAGAGGACCTCCTGTGGGACCCAAGACGGCCTTTAGAGGCCCTTCGACGGCCCAAGACGGCGCCAAGACAGCCCTCAGACACCCACCATACAGCCAAGGGGGCCCCAAGACGGCCCAAGAGAGCCCCAAGCCGGCGTAAGAGGGCAGCAGGACGGCCTAAGAGGGCCCCAAGGAACCCTCAAGACTGCCTCACAGGAGGCCATGACAGCCACAAGATAACCCAAACGAGTATCATCATCATCATCATCATCATCATCATCATCATCATCATCATCATCATCATCATCATCATCATCATCATCATCATCATCATCATCATCATCTTCACCACCATAACCACCATCATTTTCATCATCGTCGTCATCGTCATCGTCATCGTCGTCGTCGTCATCGTCATGATGATGATCATCATCATTATTATTATCATCATCGCCGTCGCCATCATCACCAGCATCATCCGTATCATCATCATCGTCATCGACATCATCATCATCGTCGGCATCATCACCACCACCAGTACCACCACCATCACCATCACCATCACCATCATCATCACCACCATTACCATCACCATAACCACAACAACCACCACCATTATCACCATCATCATCAGCACCATCATCATAATACTGATCATCATCATGATCATGCGCATCGCCAACATCACCACCACCAACATCATTATCATCACCATAGATATCATCACCAGCAACCCCGGCATCATAACCACCATTACCATCACAATCATCATCACCGTCACCAACAACATCATCACCACCACCATCGACATCATCATCACCATCATCACCATCACCATCACCTTTATCACCATCACCATGATCACCAACAACGCAATTATCACCACCCGCTATCATCATCATCACCATCATCACCACCATCATCAACATCATCCTCACCATCACCTTCATCACCATCATCATTATCATGCCCATACGATGGTTTCTCCGAAGCCAGTCTCGGAATGCGTTCGAAGCGAAGAGGCAGCGCCGCGTGCGACTGGGGGCCGCGGCAGCGGAGAGAACATTATCTGAATTCCGAGCTGCCGAAGGGCCCCTCGGCCACGGCGAAGATGTGCAGCTGAAGTCAGGGATGGGAGGGTGGGAGCTCGTGAGCCGAAGGCTGCGGAAAGCAAGCGTTCGGCCTCCCCCCCCTCGAAAGGCATTCAACTTCAATAGAAAAGACCAGGCCCACATGATGGTTTCTCCGAGGCCAGTCTCCGAATGCGTTCAAAACGAAAAGGCAGCGCCGCGTGTGACTGGGGGCCACGGCAGCGGAGAAAACGCGATCTGAATTCCGAGCTGCCGAAGGGCCCCTCGGCCAAACCACCCCGAACACTCCGGAGGGCCACCCATTTTGGATTAGCAACCTAACCAGACAAGCGAATCTGACAGAGCTTGAGACTGCAACCGCGCGTTGACGAAACTGCGGGCCCAGCGGGACGCAAATGGCTTGGGAGAAGGTTGCGCCACCAAAGTCCACAAGGGCCTCCCCGGAGCACGTCCTTTTGAAATATGATGTGGCTTGCCTGTTCTGCTGCAACAAGTTCGCGAGCCCGAGCACTGGCGAGCGAACGCTGAGACATCTACGCGGAACCCCGAAAGCCCTGTAGGCTTCTTCCAAGGGGTTCCGTCCTGACAATAGTGTGTGACTGCCCAAAATGCGTGTGGCTGCTTCCGAAGACGCTGGAGCGATGGAACGAGCCAGAGACGCGACATAGCTGGATTCTCAATCGTGAACGGGATCTGCATGCGCCTACAACTAGCCCGGAGACGCTCACACAATTTTACAAGCTTGTTGGCCATATCAATCTGAGCCCTGTCTACAGGATGCGTCACTGCGGCCAGACGCAAGATCTCCGTGTTGGACCTCAGGCGACTCGGCCAAGACCCCGCTTCACCTGGAGATCTCAGCGGCCCCGTGTTCTTGATCCTCGTCCAGGTCTGGCACGGGTCGCCGAAGTGCATGCCCCGGATCAGACCAGCATCCAGCCACCATCGGAGCAGCCTCGCTACCCTGGGAACGGTGAGGTCCCAGTCGGGCCCCCAGGTGATGTCCCACTCGGTCACCAATGCGCCCTCACGCCGCAGAGCGGCCGCCAAGATACCTTCGCCCGAGAACACCTCTACGAAGACAGGTGGCGCCAGGAGCCGCCTGCGGCGAGGGCCCAGCAGCTTCCTCAGCGCCAGCTGAGGAGGGGCGCCAGCCGAGCGGGGGCCAGCAGGGCCGCGCGCTGCACCGGAGGATGCGCCTTCTGCATCCTCTCGTTCCGCGGCCTGACTAGAGGTACCTGGCGACCGGGGCGTCGGACCTCCAGCGCCCTCGCAGCTTCGCGCTGGCCGGGGTCCGCCGCTTGAGGGCCAGCTCGACGGACGGGCCCGAGTGCCTGAGCTGCTGCAGCTGCGGGGTCAGCACCTCCAGGCCAGCGTCGACTGCCGCCTGCTTGAAGAGGGCGCTGACCTGCGCCAGGGTGAAGGGGAAGAGCGGCGCGCTCGGGTGCGCCGAGGCCTCCAGCCACCGCGGGGCTGCTGTCATGAACGCGTAGAACGGCGCGTCGAAGGGGACAGCCTCGTCGTAGACCTGAGTCTTGCTCGGCGTCGCCAGCTCCCGCGGGTGAAGGACCAGCGACCAGCCCTCGCAGGCTCCGCTGGGCGTTGGCGGGATCAGGTGTGGCCCCAGCGCCCTGAGGGCCTCGGGCGGGCGCAGGTAGCCCGCGAAGGTCACCGGCACGTAGGTCGCCGCGCGCGTCTGGCCCACGTCGATCAGCCTCGCCGCGACGAGGGCCACGACCTCCCAGGGCAGCGGGAGCCGGGCACGCGCAGGCACCCGTCTCCTCCAGCCGCGCAGAGCCTGCAGCGCCCTCGGCAGCCCCAGCCCCCCGCGAGCGAACTGCGGCATCATGAACTTCAGCACCGCCAGCATGTGCGCGCCCCGCTCGGGGTTCCAGCCTTCGGCATACTGCTGGTCCATCCACTGTGCCAGCAGGTCGTCGGCCGTCTCGGTGCGTTGTGCAACCGGCGCGGGCGCCAGCCAAAGCGTGAACTCCTCCCGCAGGCGCAGGTACTTCGTCCTCGTGGCGACCGTCACCGAGAGGGCTCTCAGCACGTGGCCCGTAGAGGCCCGCAGGGGGGCGGCCTCAGGCGCTCGCGCCGCCGCTCTGCCCGCGCGCCTGGCCGCTGCCTCGGCTGCCTTCACCTTCGGGCGAGGGCCCGCGCCGTGGCGGCTCCGCGGCGGCCTCGCCGAGATAGGAGCCGCCGCCGGCGGCCGAGGCTGCGGGGTGGCGCCTCGCGCCGGCGCCGCCGGGAGAGCGGGGCTCCTGCGCGGCGGCCAGACTGGCGACTGCGCCCCGCTGAAGCCGCGCCCCTATGCGAAGGGGCTGGCGCGACGGCACGTCCGCTGGGTTCGCCTCCGACGGCGTCCAGCGCAGCGCCGCGCTGGCGCCGCCCGCAACGGCACGGGCGGCCCACTGGCGGCAGATGTGGGCCATCCTTGGCCGCGAGGAGCGGCCCTTCGAGAGAGCCAGGGCGACGCCGATGCTATCCGAGAGAAAGAGGACACGATGGCCATGCTGTTTCGTATCTCGAAGTAATGTTTCAGGGCGTGTATCAAGGCCCCCCCCTCTTGAGGCAGTGATGTGCTCCTCTCGCTCCCAAGACCCACTAGAGATGGCGATCCACTCGCCCGAGACGTACTCCACATCCAGAGGCTCGAAGCCCATGGGCTGCAAGCGATCAGTCGCTGGAATTTCTAGGACATCACGTTGACGACGTTTCCGATTCGCGTCGATTGAGCTGTCGGACTTCACGATGCTCCGCGGGGCCCTGCGAGCTACCGAGGTCGTTCGGCCTCGACGGCGACTCGGTGTCGAAGAGGCTCTAGTTGGGCTCCGGGGGCATCTTGAGCTGCTCCCGAGGGGCCTTCGCGTTGGGGTCGCGGAAGCGCCAGCGTTCCTGAACGCGACCAAGCTTCTGGACAATGCTTTTATCGAACTCTCGCTCGCACACCCCTCGACCCCTCTCGGAGGCATCCGCGCGCGTGACTCCCCCCGGCCACTCGGCGCGCAGGTCCGCCAACGCCAGCGGCGCGACGCCCGTGGCCCGCGCCAGCTCCCACCGCACGCTGCGCCACCGCTGCCGCGACGCCTCGCCCGCCTTGGCGATGAAACGGTGCGCGGCAGAGAAGATGGACGGCAGCGGCCCCCTGACCAACAAGACGACAATGTAGTGCCCGACCACCTGCCTCACCTGCTGCGCCGAGACCTCTGGCGCGTCCAGGAGGGCCCGCGTGGCGAGGATCAGGCGCCGCGCCCTGCGCGGGGCCGGGGGCGCTGACCCGCGCTCGCGCTCGCCATCGATGACCCGGCCCAGCAGCTGCGCGTGCAAGGGCGCGCTCTCCTCCTCGTGAACGGGGAGCCCGCTCTCGCGCAGCGTCGCGACCATGTCGTTCTTCACCTGCTCGGTGGTGTCGCGATCCAGCGAGCGCGAGGCGAAGTTGTCAACGTGCTCGAGGTGGGCGCCGCCAGCCAAGCCAGGCCAGATCTGGCGGTCCACCGCCCTCGTCGCCGTCGCCAGCCCCGCCCGATCAGCATCCGACTCCGACGCCCGCTGACAGACGGCCAGCGCGCGGGTCCAACCCGCGGGCAAAACCGCAAGACGCGGCCACAACAGCCCGGACTGCTGCTGCCCGTGGCCAGCCCCCCGGCCCAGCCTCCACGCGTCTATCGGCGGGGGCGCGAAGTAAGGCCGCCAAGTGTGCGGGGGCTCCATGTTGTAGAAGGCGTCCGCGATGTCTGCAGAGGCCGTCCACAAGCTCGCGCCATCGGGCAGCTCGATCGCCGCCAGCGCCGCACCCGTGGCCAGATGCACGTCCGCGGGGTCGCCGAACCAGAAGTTGGCGGGCTGGGCGCCCACGGCGAGCCGCTGCCGCCCGCTCTTCTTGGGCGCGCTGCAGAGACCCACCTCGTCCATCAACTCGCCGGGGTCGCTGGCGAGATCGATCGCGCCGGCCTCCAGCAAACGACTCACCGGCGCGGCGTTGACGACGGCCCCGAAGAATCGGATCCATGTGGGGCCCCCTGAAGCCAGCATCCCTTTTCAACTGCAGAACTTCGGTCTTTGACAAGACCTCATCCGAAATATCGCGATAGACGGAATCGAAGACCTCGGACTCCAGAAACCGCTTCAGCGAGACAGGACAGTTACCTGGGGGCGGCAGCGAGAGCCGGGAGACGCCCATGTTTACGCCCTGGTCGACAGCGCGCCGTCGTAGGACAGAGCAGCCTGGATCTCCTGAAGGGCTGCCAAAGGCTGGAGGTCGCCCGGCGGGGGGCCCAGCTGCGAGACGGCGTCCGCGATGCGTGCCAGACAGCGTTGCTGCGCCAGCGTCGCGTCGCCAAGCGGCATTGAGCAGCCCCCCCCCAGCGCCGCTGAGGCCGCTGAGCGACTCCACCGCCTGCCTGGCGAGCCACGGCGCGGATGCGGCGCGGCGCGCCCGCCCCCGCGTGCAGCGCGAGCGCCTGGCAGCCGGTCCGCCGGGGTCGGCGGCAGCAGGCGCAAGCAGCGGAAAGATGTCCCGCTGGCGCCCCGCGCCCGCGCCACCGCGCCTGCTATGAACACCCCCAGCAGCGCAGGCATCCGCCGAGGCAAGCCCAGTTCCCGCAGCGCCTGGAGAGGCTGGGCCAGCACGCCCCTCAAAGCAACATGTCATCATGACTTCGCGCCTCCGGCCTTGGCCCCAGAGGCGGCCTTCGCTTCTTCTCGAAGCTTGCGAGCGTTCTTCTTCAACTCACTGACGCGCTCGAGCTCCTTGCCCACCGCGTCGAGAAGCGCGGGGCAGACCATGCTGCTCGGGCGGCTGGAGGGCCTGTCTCGCCCATGAAGGCGCTGATCTCCTCCTGCGGCACCTTCTGCTGCGAGGCGTCCTGCTCGCGCTGCTTCTCCTCCCAGAAGTGCTCGATGAGCTGCATCTTCCGCAGGAGGCGCTCGACGCCCACGAGGTTCGACAGGTTCACCTCGTCGACCGTCGCGAGGTCCTCCAGCACCGTGCTCAACGCGTGGTGCTCCGCGACGCCGTAGTCCGAGGTGCTGAGCCGCTTCCGAGCCTTCCAGCTCTCGCGACGTTGGATCGGCCCTCCCTCGCGCCGCAGCCAGGACACGCGCCAGGCGGCCGAGCGCGGCTGCAGCGCGAAGAGCGGATCCACCACCTCCCTCGCGGACTCGGTGACGGCGAGCCAGATGCGCGGGCCCGCGCTGCCAGGGAGGCGAGCCGTCGTCCGAGGATCGGACCCGCGCGATGATGCCGCGCCCGCCAGCCATTGCCGCCAGCACGATGCCAGAGATCGGGCCGACCTGCGCCGCCGTCCCGAAGCTGAACGACTCGACGTCCTCTGCCACCACCCACGCCCAGCCCGCGGGCGCCTCCCCGTTGGGGCCGAGAGGCGGCCCTCCGTCGTCCTTCCAGCCAGGCCCGGGCTGCGCGCCCACGGCGGGAGGAGCCCCGCCGCGATGGGGGCCCCAGCGGCAGTCGCGGGCGGCGGGGCCGCGGCTGGGGGGGCACCCAGCGGCACGACGGCGGCCGTGCCGGCGGCAGGCGGCGGCGCTCCAGCCGCCAAGGCCCTCGCCGCAGGCCCCCGAGCAGCTGGCACGGCGGCTGGCACCGCCGCCGCGGGCGCTCCAGGCAGCAGCCCACCGCTCATCGGGAGGAGCGCACCACCCGCAGGCAGCGGAGCCCCAGGGTGGCGCCGCGCGAACTCGGCGTTCGCCTCGGCGGTGGCCGCGGCGAGCCAGGCAGCCTCGCGCGCCGCCGAGGGCGCCCTCCCGAACCTGTAGCTCGACTCGGGAACGATCCCAGGCGGGGGCGGCCACCTCGCCGCCGAGAAGCGCACCGCGGCGATGTCGGGCACAGCGGCCAGCAGCCGCTCCGCGTAGACCATGTCATCGGGCGTGACGATGATGACGTCATCCGTGAGCGCCAATTGTCCGACCACTCTCCTCTGGTGGAGGAGCGGCGCGCCTGCCACGTTATACAGCACCCAGGCCCACGCCTCCGCCATCAGCGGCAGCCGCCAGCGCTAGGCGCGAGGGAGCCCCTCCAGCCTGCGCCGTGCCCTTGCCCTGCGGCTTGGCCGAGAAGCGGAACGGCACCCACAGGCGCAGCGCCGCGATCGCGCCCAGGGCGCCGAACGAGACCCCGGCGAGGCCCGGGGCCAGGCAGGCGAAGGCCACCGCGCTCGCGGTGGCGCCCACGGTTGCCCCAGGGCACGGCGGGCAGGCCGGGCACGCGGGGCAGGGCAGAATGTCGGTCGCCGGGCAGCGCGCGACCCAGGCCTGCAGCGCGGGCACCCCCCAACCGTCCAGAACTCCCAGCAAGCCCTCCGGGAGGCCCAGCCAGGGCATACGCCGCGGACCGCCGCGGCGCTCAGCTCGTGAGCCGAAGGCTGCGGAAAGCAAGCTTTCGGCCTCTCCCCCCCTCGAAAAGCATCCAACTTCAACAAAAAAGACCATCATCACAACCATCGTCATCACCCGCTATCATTGTCATCATCATCGTCATCACCACCATCATCATCGCCACCACCACCACCACCACCATCATCATCATCATCATCATCATCATCATCATCATCATCATCATCATCATCATCATCATCATCATCAGCATCATCATCATCATCATCATCATCATCATCATGATCATCATCATCATCATCAGCATCAGCGTCAGCGTCAGCATCAGCATCAGCATCAGCATCAGCATCAGCATCATCATCATCATCATCATCATCATCATCATCATCCTCATCCTCATCCTCATCCTCATCCTCATCCTCATCCTCATCTTCATCCTCATCACGGCTTTCCCAAGCCTGGAGATACAAGGTGTCAAAAAGGATGGCCTCCCGCGCCTACACGAACAGTCGTTACCCAGAACACTGGGTTGGCAAGGTGCCGGGACTTACCGCGAGCAGCCGAATATTTTTTCATGCAGGGCGATTTCGCCTGCACCTGGGCACCAGGACCATCACGGATCGATCCAGTTGGAGACTTGCTACAGAGATGTGGGGTCGAGGGCTCTGGTCGTGACTTCCCACGATGTTGCATTTTTCCGCGACAGCCCGTACGCTGCACGACACATACTTCAGCAAATAGGCTGCACAGCATAGATGGCCCCCCCCCAACCCACCCACCCACCCATACACACACAGATAACAGAACCGTCCAGGATCTGAAGCCTCCTGGGCATTTTCCTTGACGAACGCCCACGCCGTAGGAGCCAGGACTCCAGGACGACACACCAACCGGTGGGGGGACCCAGGGCGGAAGCGCGGCTGAACTGGCCGCGCGATTGGCGCCAACTCCATGCGACTGCAGCGTTCGCGGCCCCAGCATGGCTCTCCTGGCCTCGCCTCGGCAGCCTGCCCCCATGAGCCGCGCGCCTGCCCAGGCCCAGTTCCTGCACGGCACCACCTGGAAGCGAACTCCACCCTGCCTCAGATCTACACACACACATGTGGCCGCCTACGGCTGCACCGCCGCACCCGTGACGCGGCCCCACGCCAGCCGGGGCCCGGGGGCGAGGAGGTCAACGGCGGCGGCCGCGAACAGGCGCGCGCGCGCCGCTCGGGCCGGGAAGACTCTTTGCCGCTCGGCTCGGGAAGACTGCTGGGCCCCGGGAGCTGCCCCGCTGCGAGCGGCCCCCTCTGAGCGAGGCCGGCCAGGAGCTCGGCTGCTCCAAGGCGGGGCACTGCGGGCTGGGGCCCCGAGGACGGGACGGGCTCTCGGGCAGAGCTTCTGCACGGTCTGAGACCGCTCGCCCACCGGGGGCCCCCGCTCTCGGGCCCGCGTCCCTGGGCCGCCGAGGAGAGGCGCCGAGGGGGGAGCGCGCGAGGCGAGGAGCTCCCCCTCGGCCTCGGGCCCTCCGGCACGGCGCCCCGTTCCTCTGCAGGTCGCGGGGCTGGCGCGCGGCCAGACCGCCTACGTCCTCGCGGTCTTCTCTGGGGGGGCGTCCTCGGCCTCGTCGTCGGCGGGGCGCTTGCCGCCCAAGAGGCTGTCGATGAGGCTCCCCGGGGTGACCGCGTCCCCGCCGTCGTCTCTGCCCTCCGCCCTCTCGTCCTTCTTCCACCACTCGCCGTCGTCTTTTTTCTCGTCCTTCTTCTCCCACCAGTTGCCCTCCTCCTTTTTGTCGTCCTTCTTCCACCAATCGGCGTCGTCCTTCTTGTCGTCGCCCTTCCTCTCCCACCACTTGTCCTCTTTATTGTCCCAACTGGCGCTCTTCGTATCCCAGCTGTCCTCCTTGCCCCAGCCAGAGCTGCCGCCTTTCTCGTTCTCCGCGTCCCTGAGGTCCTGCGGGGTGCTATCAATTGCGTCCTTGATATTTACTGTCTCATTATCTAAGCATTGCGCTCAGGGGCCCTGGTTTCTTCTCTACGCAGGTGGGTCTGGGGGCGCGTTCTTTTTTTGGCCGTAGGTCGCGAACATGGGTTGCGCCTTGGGGTGCGCCATTGGTTGCGCGGATCTGATGCGGCCCTGGAGGTGCGCGGAATGTGCGTGGCCGTAAGCGGCGCCCATGGGTTGCGCCACGGGTTGTGCTCAAGGTTTCACGCCCTCCCCCAGGAGATTTTGCTGGCCATGGGCTGCGGTATAGCTTGTGCCCATTGGTTTCGCACGCTCGCCCAGGAATGTCTGGTGGTCATAACCTGTGCCCGTGGATTACGTCACAGCTTGCGCACTCTCGCCCAAAGATTTCTGGTGACCATAAAGCGGCACCGACGGGCTGCGCCATACGTTGCGCCCATCGGCTGCGCCCAGAATTCCCTTGTGGCCATAAGTTGCGTGCGTGGTTGGCGCTCATACTTTCCTTACTGTTGATTTGGTGGGCCGGCTTTGCTTTGCATTGCGCCAGAAAGGTTTCACCAATTCACTGTCTTAGTGACTTGGGTCCGAACTGTTTTGGGCCCGCTCCAGTAATGCATGCTTCTGCTGTTGGCGGTCTTGAGGAACGGGGTGCCACGAAGTGCAGATATTCAGTGTGCCGCGGGCTGCGCTGAAGGGTTTCGCCATGAGTGCGGCCGTTGGCGCAGACGCTTCGGTGCGGCCATGGCTTGCGCCCATAACTTGCGGCCACGTGGCGCCGATGTGCCAATGCGGCGATCAGTTGTGCCATGGGCTGCGCCGTGGGTTGCGGCCACGTGGCGTGATGTGTCGGTGCAGCCACCAGCTGCGCCCCTGGGATGCAATGGACTGCGGCCACGTGCCGCTGATTGTCCGGCGCGGCCACGATATTGTTCTGCGCTGCATTGCCTTGCACCGCATTTCGCTGCATTGCTTCGCATCGTTCCGCCGCCTCGCACCGCTCCACGCGAGATAGTATCGCATCGCTGTTTGGGGTCCGTCGCTGGACTCCTCTCGGCTTCGCTCCCGAAATCCTGCGGGATCGCCTGCCCCGCCTTCTCCATGATGCCCCTGATGTTGGCGGCCTCCTTGGAATTACCCGTGGACATCAGGAGCGTGTACGCGTCGCCCTTGTCGTTCGCCCGCCCCGTGCGACCGATGCGGTGCACGTAGTCCTCCGCGCCCCTCGGGGCGTCGTAATTGACGACCACGGTAATGCTTCTGAGGTCGAGTCCTCGGGCAGCAAGGTCAGTTGCGATCAACGCCTTGACCTCGCAGTTCTTGAACCTCGACATTGCGTCGTCTCGCCCCCTCTGGTCCAAGTCTCCGTGCAGCTCGGCAGATTTGATGCCCAAAGACTTGTCCTGGTCAATCTCCCAAGCAAGATCCCGGCACATCCTCTTCGTGTTGCAGAACACCAAACAGGCTCCATTCCAGCCCATGTCCTTCAGGATCTTCATCAAAGCGGCCTTCTTGTCGCCGTCCGATCCGCAAGACACGATGTGCTGAGTGATATTCGTGTTAGTGGTGATATCATCGGAACCTATCTGGATGTGTGTTGGATTCTTTATGTAGGAATCAGCTATTTGTCTACATTCCCGGGGCCACGTCGCGGTGAACATGGACGTTTGTCGGTCCTGGGGCACCTTACTGAGAATGTCCTTGATCTGAGGCTCGAAGCCCATATCTAGCATGCGGTCAGCCTCGTCCAGCACCGCATATCTGACCTGGTCCAGGTTAACCACCCAGTTGTTGATGAAGTCGTTCAGGCGCCCTGGAGTTGCGATCAAGCAGTCTGGGCCCTGCTTTATGGCCCACTCCTGGTCCTTTTTGGGGGCGCCGCCATAGGCGCAAGCAGCAGATATGCCGACCGGTTTGCCAAACTTCTCCGTGTCGCTGAAGATCTGGTAACAGAGCTCGCGGGTCGGCGTCACGCACAGCAGGGCGGGCCCCTTTGCGGTGTCCACCTCGCCCTTCTTCTTGAGCCTCCTCAGCTTGATGAAGCCCAGCAGCAGAAACGCCAGCGTCTTGCCAGAACCTGTCTTCGCCACGCCTACCAGATCCTTGCCAGCCTGCAGCACCGGCCATGCGTACGCCTGCACCGACGTGGGCGCGGCGAAGCCGCAGCCCTCGGCGTCGGTGCTGGTCTGCAGGAAGGCGATGAGGCCCCCAGGGAAACCCTTCACGCCGATCACCCGGTCCCACGTGTCCCACGGCTCCACCTGGCAGGAGCAGTCAGCACCGAATCGGAACATCGGACCGGATCGGAACCTGCATCGACTCGGGCCGCACCAGCACAGAGTCGGAACAGGATCACCACGCCGCCACGCGAGCGTCGGGACGCATCGGATCGTGGGGACATCGGAATCCAGTCGGATCGGGCCTGCCGCAATCGATGTCGAATGGATCGAACGAGTCGATATGGACTCTCTGGTCAATTCTGGAAACACCGAACCCAAACACGTTGACGCCTCGTATTGACTTCCGCCTCCTCCTGGCATCTTCCCCCGGAGGGTTCCCCGCTGTTCCTTTCCTCGCAAGCATCCACATGCTTCGGTGTTGGCCCTGTCGCTCATACGCGTGCCGTTCGCATCACGAACAAGGTGCAAACGGAGCGCTAAGCAGAGACAACGACGCCAATCCAGAAGTACTAAAGCGTTGTGCGTGCATCCCCTGAGGATCCGCCGCCGTTGTACTTCTGCCGCGTTTCATCGACCTTCCACTGGCGGAGCAGGCTGCTGTTTTACTTTCGCTGGCCTTCCGCCGAAGGTGAGACGCACCGAAGGCGAGGTCACTTCCCAAATGCGCGCCACCTGCCCAGGATCAGTCAACATCGACTCGAGAAATCGGATCGACTTGGACTGTGCGTCGGATCGGGATGCATGTGCACGGGGTCGAAACCGAATCGGACCGGCCGCGCCAAGATGCACAACTGCGCATGTGAGCATCGGGTCGCATCGGATCGTCGGAACATCGGAACTGAAGCGGATTGGGCTGGCCGAGATCGACATCGAATCGGATGGGTCGGATCGAGGTGGACCCTGCCTGCCTCCCGGAGGCGGCGCCGGCTGTCCCCAACAGGTCCGCAGCGCAGCACAGGGCGAGCTCAGCACCCCGACCGCAGGGCAGCTCGAGCTCTGGCGCCTGCCGCCAGAAAGCGGCACGGGGGCGTGGAGACACCCGCGGACTACGGTGAGGGTGTTGGATGAGGAACCATTGCGTACAGTCAGAATCCACAGTAAGGGTGCAAGGTTAATTCAGATGCGAGACCCGTGGCACTGCCGCTCACGACTTAGACCTCCTTGGACGTCAACATCGGCCCAGGATGGGCCGAAGAATCAGGGATGCAAGCGTAGCCTTAATGAAGCAGCGCATCCTTACTGTAGATTTTGACAGTAAGGAATCCAAGATCTGCAAGCCGGTGGAACTCCAATCGTGGGTTGGCCAAGGATATCACCGCCACGCTCGTCAGATAAGAAATCCTCCAGGGTCTGAAGCCTCCTGGGCACATTCCTTAACCAACGCCCCCAACGTATCATGGGGGCCTGTCTTGAGGGCGGCCAGGATTACGGCAAGCTCGTGTCGTGACGAGTTACGCGTCGGACTCCCGTCCCACCCGAATCGACCAACCTTCAGCGATCGCGCCGTCCCGATAGCGAGATCGCTGCTGTTCGCCGATTCTGGGCCACCGGCGGCGTTCAGTCTTCAACGCCCGCGCCAGGTTCGCCGCCGCGTCGACACGACAAGTATCTACCGCACCTCCAGGGCCTCCCTGTGAGCAGCCCATAGCTTTCCCAGCTCCGCCTGATCGGTGATGTCCCAGGAGCTGGAGTCCCATACTTTGACCACGTCCTTGGAGGAGGAACAAGCACATAAAAACGACATTCGGAGGTCCGTGTGGATTTCTTGGGTCGGCGCTGATCCCCCTCCTCTAGCACGCAAAGCGCGCCAAGGGCGGCGCCAGAGGCGCCAGCAGGGCGGGTCCAGCGCCGACCCAGGTAATCCGCGCGGACCACCGACACTCAGTTCTGTTTATGCAAATGCTCGTTACCCATCACCTCAACAGAGGTCTTGGTTATTATCTAGACGCCGCCGACTCTCTTTTCGCGCCTCCCTCCTCCCTCCCTCTCCTCACTCGCATTCAGACCCACTCGAACTCAGACTCGCTCACACTCAGACTCGCTCACACTCAGACTCACTGATACTCAGACTTGACACCCAAGTTCACTCATTTTCAGATGCACTTATACTCAAATGCGCTAACAACCAGACTCACTTCTCACACTGAGTCTCCGACACATTCAGACACACTCGGACTCACGCACACTCAGGCTCGCCTCACATTCCACTCGTGAGGATGTCTCGAGCGAGGCGTTGGTCTCAGCACCCCGATGGTGGAGCCGCCAGGGGCCCGTTCGCGCCCAGATTGTGGGGATGCCCCAGGCGGCTTGCTGTTTGGCGGTTTGGGCTTCGGTGCCAGATTGTGAGTATGTCTCGACCGAGGCGAAGGTTTCAGCACTCCGAGGAAGGAGCCGCCAGCGGCCCATTCGCGCCCAGCTTGTGGGGATGTCTCAGGCGGTTTGCCTGTTCGGTGGCTCGGACTTCGATGCTTTCAGAGCAGATTGTGAAGATGTCTTAAGCGAGGCGCTGGTTTCAGCACCTCAAGCGGCCAGATAGTGGGGATGTATCGACCCCTGTCCAGTCAGAGCCCTAAGATCACCTCGATGTAGGGAGAAGGACGGCCGCCATGACGGATAAGGGAGGACGGAGGAGGAAGGATGAGGACGCAGGAAGAGGGACAAGGGAGGAGGGTGGAAGAGAAGGGATTTGATTTTGATTTGCACTCGGGTGATCGTCTGCCGAACACTCCTGCCCGTGGCGCCGAAACGACGAGCGAGGGGCCCGAAGGGAGGGCCGAAAGACGCGAGGGACGGACCAGGACCCAGACAGAGCCGACCGAGGGACCGAACCGAAAACAGGGACAACGAAAAATCGAAGGCCCGAGACGTCAAGCGATGCTGGCAAGACCTGGCAATTAAATTTGGAGCCCCTGTCCTGACTCCTGGGCTTTCAGCCTCAACCTCTGGCCAGGCGGCAGCATGCAAACAAAACAGGACGCAGCAAGGCAGCGGAGAGCCCTTTATCTCTTCGCGAGCCTGGGCTGCGCGGGATCAAAGAAAAGTCACAATGGAAGGAATTGGCGCAGTCAGAACAAGGGACTGAATACCATCGCCTCAGCATCGATTCCTTCCCGTGACATTTCGGCGCCATTCAAAGCGCAGCAGAGAGGCAAACCCCTGATGTCGCCCGCTGGCAGGCGGAGCAAAGTCTTTTCTCTCTGCGAGCCTGGGCGGGGGAGAGGCGAAAAACAGCACAAGAGAGGATGAGTGGGCGCAGGCGGAGCGGGTGCCTGCTTCTCAGCGCCTCTGTACCCACTCATCCTCAGGCCTAATCGACGAGCCCTGACGTGTCGGCACAGGGACATTTCAACTAGCAGAGAGATTCGTGGCAACAGCTAGAGAGGCATGCCATGATGTCGCCCCGCGCGGCAGGCGGAGCACGAGTCTTTCTCTTTGCGAGCCTGGGCGGGGGAAGGCGCGACAACAACATACAAGGGGATGAGTGGGCGCAGGCGGAACGGGCGCCTGCTTCTCAGCGCCTCTGTACCCACTTATCCCCGAGCCTAGCCGACTGCAGACGTGTCGGCGCATGACAGAATAGATAACGTAAGAGTCGGACCGCCCCCCACCTTCCACCTATGTTAACCCCAAGACATCTACGCGGGCTCTAGAAGCCATGCAGGATCAAACAGAGCCTGGCAATTAAAGATATCATGAGGGTCAGGAAAGGCATATATAACGTTGACATTGTCAACGGCAGTGACATCGCCGACTGGTTGATCAGTGCGGGGGCCACGTCCATCACACATGCGGCGGAGCCGTGAGATGGTTCCAGGGGCTCGTGGAGGGCCAGTGCAGGATTTCGTTAAAAACAGCCACATTCTTACACGAGTAGCGGCCGCAGCGGCGACAGAACATGATATTGTTTAATCGCCTGAGTACGTGCCCACCGCCGGTGGGAGAGGAGCACTGTGATCGCAATAAGTAGCTCTTGGAAACCGAGCTAGCCCAACAAGTTACACAGCGGAAACGGCCCACCGAAGGGTCCCAGAAATGCTCATGCAAGGCCCCAGAGGAGGCACCAGAGAGGACTAGGGGCGGGACCGAGGGGGCAGGAATCTCATCAGAATCCGCCGCCCAAATCTTTTTGGGCACATTCTTAAAGATCCACGCTATACAATGACCGATATAAACACCAAGATTACGCACAAGCAATCCATAGCGCTTGACTCGGTCGTGCAGGACCGTGTCCTGAGAGTGTAGGTCCGCACCTAGGTTAGCAAGTCTGTCGGCCTGCTTATTACCAGCCGAGGTGGAGTGGCCACGCACCTTGGTGACCTTAATTAGGTGATACCCGAGATCTGAGGCCGCACGGTGAACCCTGACCCACAAGGATGCATGGGTGGCCCAGCCGTGCGTGGTAGCTTCAAACCCCATTGCCCAGCCGTCAACGACATACTGGGCATCCGTGACGTACTCATAGCAGTCGGAGGGGGCAGCATGGGTGAGATAAAATAAAAACGCATAGAGCTCAGGCCCTGGGGCATCCTGGGTGAGAAAAGGATGCGCGCCGTAAGCTCCCGCATTGAGACGAAGCCGATTATTGGCGAGAGGCTCACCAAAGACGTTTCGGCTACGCGGGGCAAATGAGCAGACGCCCCATCCACAGCGGAGAGCGAGCGGCGAGGGACCATGCTTCCCCGAGCCGTCTCCATACGCAGGCGACGAGAAAAAGGTGCCGTCGGCGGCACCTTCCCAGACAGGGTCCGGGAAAGGTGGTGCGAGCAAGGAGCTATAGCGCGGGTCGGGAACCATGGCAGTGGTCCAGACAGGGTTCTCGCGATACTGCTCTATGCAGCGTGTGAGGGCTGGAGTCGGGCCGAACCAACGACGAAACTCCAGAAGCCCATCGCACTCGTAGAGGGTGTGAAACACGGGGTCAGAAGGGACAAGCTGACAAATGGGGCACCGAGGTTTAAAGTATATGCCCTCAGATATAAAGCCCCCCAGAGCACGTTGCTGGAACACCCCCCATCCTTCAGTCCTTGATGACAAAAGGGAGAGTAGAGGAGGCAGGAAGGGGGGCCCAGACAGGTGACTGAAGGATGGGTGACGCTCAGAGGCCTGCTTCCAAGCCCAGACAGTCGCGTCACGAGTCACCAATGCAACCACCTCACGAGGGGACGTAGACGAAATATCGACATCGGTTCCAGGAGAACTCCGCCATATTGTGGGCGAGGCCGCCGACCACCCAATCCGTCGCAGAGTGGCTGCCAAGATCTGTCCTGGGCCCTGCAAGTCAGTCCACGGGGTATCTGGCGTCACCTTTGTGTAGGCTTCCTGGAACACTTGGTCTATCATACCGACGGGCAAGAGAGAATCCCATCTAGAGACAGTCCAGAGGCGAATAACTTCCGCATGCGCATCAATCGCAGGGTCCGTAACACCATGCAAAGCCAAATCCATCGTGACGGACCGACGCTTACCTGTGCCAAGTCCAGCGTGGTATATAGTACGAACCTGACGAATCTGATGGCTAGACAGACCAGCAACATCGATGCCGTACATGACCGTGGGCCGCAGGTTGGTGTTTACAATGCCTGCAACCTTCGCACCAGCTCTCTTTAGCCTCAGAAGGCGTCGGGCCTTAGACATGGCTTTCTTCAAACGACCACTGAGGACAGGACGAGAGCGACGCCCCTGACGAAGCTGATAGTCAATCCCGAGGTTGCGACAGGAGAACTTGACGGCACCAGCGAGACGCGGGGTTTCAGCTGCAATACTCTGGGCCAACTGGGGGTCGGTCGCCAAGAACACAATTTTCTTCTCAGAAAGTGGCAAACGTGCAGAGAAGGTCAGCTTGCTCATCAAAAGGTGTGACGCATCAGGGCCCATTTTGAGCAACTCCCTTCCCGTGCCTATCCCCAGGACCTGGGCGTCGTCGGCGACGAGGCCAAGATGCATATTTGGATAAGACTGGAGAGAGGAATCCAACTCAGGCATCAATAAAATACGCATAAACAGATCGGCAAAGGAACAACCATCCACAATAGTTTTACTAGCCCTGACCCACTCCCCGGCGATTCGGCGCAGCGCGACCACACGCGGGGATCGATGCGGAGACAAGAATACCCTCAAGAGTGCCGGGTGAAACCCAAACTCACTAGCTCGTCTAATGAGAAGTTTATGGCGAACCTGTTCAAAAGCCTTGTGGATGTCGAGCATAAGTGCAATCGCAGACAGGCCCTTGGACGCAGCAAGCTCCGTTAGCACGCCCATGCGCCACGCGCATGCTTGACAGGAGTGACCGCGCACACCATGCACATATGGACGAGGATGTAGGCGCGCCCACATAACACCGTACGTGTGCCTGAAGAACCGAGAGAACGTGCGCACACACGTCGTGAACAGTGCCACAGTGCGCTCGCCGCCGTCAGTCTTCGGTATCAAATTCATGATGAACACAGCGAGAATGGGGGGACATCTACCCAGTCGCAGAACAGCCCGCCATATGCCGAACAAGGCCAGAAGAGACGAGTCCGACAGGAGCGCATGGTGACGAGGATGCATCGAATCCAGTCCAACCGACGTGCGAGCCTTGTATCTGCGACACATCTGTCTGTACTTGTCCAGAGACGGGTGCGGCAAGGATGCAAGGTCATCAGGAAGTATCGGCGGAAATTCCAGAGCAAGGCAAGGATCATCAGGGTGCTCCTTCATGGGATCCCAAATAGAATGCCAAACTTCTTCTCGCGCCTTAAGATGATGCTGCGGCGTGCCGACTGGGGCGTCTGGGTTCGGGGTGGTCTTGTCAAAAGATGCCCAATCCATCGATCCCTTGACGAATCGGTGCGCAGCAGAACCGCCTTCCTGGACAGATCGGATGGCCCATGATGTCCAAGATTGATATCTCTGTGCCGATGCAGCACGTTCCAGAGCAGACGCAGACTCAGCCAAGACGCCACGCAGCCAATCGATGGAACCGAGATCCAGGGAACAAAGCCTATTGGCATAATACCTCCACCATGACCAATCAGGGGGAGGACCTCCGTCACGCGACGAGGGGCGATATCGGCGCAGGGCTTGACAGGCTCTCTGATATGCGGGCCACAACTGCTTGTCAGCCAGATACAGAAGAGTGCCAAGACGGTTGGAAAGATACCTCCAGAGCCTGCCTTCATATGACGACACCACACCTCCAGGAAACAGACTGGAAACCGAAATCTGGATAGTTGAAGGGCGTTCGCCTCACTTGGTGTAGTCCTGCGGATCTGGCAACTGGAAAAGGTCAACCAACTCCTGAGCAGACGTCTTCAGCCAAGAAGAAGTCAGGCGATCCAGGTCTTCCACAGCGTTGACTGCTTCAGGGTCAGGAAAGGCATCCCAGGAAGGCGGACAATTTGTACACCCCACGGGCCGTATTACAGGGATATGAGGAGGACGTCGAAAAACATAGACCAAATCAGAGTGGAGATTTCCACGAAGAGTGAGAACCACAGGCTGGTACTTGGGGATCAGGGGCGTTTCCCAGACCTCACACTTGACTGCGGACGCAAGCAAGGGGTGAACCGCAAAGTAGTCGATCAACGATTGGGCACCTGCGGACTCATAGGTATGGCGATCTGGCGCGACAATGACCCCACCTACGAGCGTTAAGAAGTCCGTATTCTGCAAGTCCTTGGGAGACATATTCCAGTCCCCTGATATCACGAAGGGGGTAGAGATAGTCTTCATGACTGCTGCAACCTGCATCAGAAGCTGGGCGTTGCGATCGTCAGCGCCCTCCCCTGTGTGCAGATATGCATTTGTCTAAGGAATGCCTGCATCAACAACCCCATGCCAGAGCTTCAGGATAAATCTCTCCGGAGGGGGCAAGGCGACAATCGGATCCAAGACCACATCAGAGAAGGACCTGGCGTAGTGTGAGACATGACCCACTCCCGAGCTCAAGCCGCCTTTCTGAGTACTGACTGAAGGGTGAAGGTGCGCATGGAACCCATGCTGATGTGCACGATTGACAGCGAACTCGGTCGCCTCTTCTGACCGACAGAGTTCTTGAAACCCAACAGCATCAAACCGATCAGGATAAGCCTCCAGGAAAACATCTGCATTATACCAGGAGGTGACATTCACAGTGACAATGACCCAATCACGACGAGGCTTCTTCACGAAGGCTGGCTTGTCGGGCGGGGTCGCCGATGTGCTAAAGGTCAGACGGGCCCTTGGCTTTGGAGCCCTTGGCACTCTCCTTGCCAGATTCAACAAAGAGGGCCTTCTCGATACCCTTGGAAAGGCTTTTGATACCCGTAGGGCCCTGGGCAACTGGCTGCTCGTGCACCGCCGCTGCTGGGGCGTCGGCGGAGGCAGTAGCGGCGGCAGCCAACGGCGTACTACTTCCTGACTGTCCCGATGGATCAACAGCGACATCAGGGGCGTGCGCAGGACGTTTCGGCGAAGGTGGCAATGAAGAAGAAGAGCGGGGAGGGGCCCTAGCAACGCGCGTTGGGGCCCCCTGCTGGTCGACAGACATCCTGGGCTCCTCCGACTGGGACCGAGGCTCGCTGGCAACAACAACAGGAGCATAACCAGACATAACGATACCCTGAAGGTCACGCAAGGCCTGAGCAAGCTTCTTGTCTCTCTGGACTGCCTGGGAAGCTGCGAAGACGTCCGCAACGGCTGACAGATCTGGGGGTGTGTCACCCTCGGGGTCTGGCTCATTCGAAGGAAGATCCTGCAACTTAGACTGCCACGTAGCCATATCCTGGACAACGCGCTCCTGACGGACACAGAGGGCATCTTTGTCACTCTGGAGGTCAAGAATCTTGCGGTCGATCTCACGAATCTGGCTAGATATCTTATCCAACTTCTTACTGGCCCAATGGTGACGCTGCTTATAGAATGCACGCTTCTGGGGAACAGTGAGCATGTCAGACTTCTGTGCAAGAAGATGCTGCAACTCTTCCTGGAGACCCAAAACCTGATCCCGAACGTACTTGGTTGGTGGAAGCAAGCGAAGGGACTCCAACTGGCCCGGCAAGGCCTTGATAATCTGATCAACCTGCGTAACCGAGAGCTCATTGCCACTGATATCAACACAGCCGCCATCAGCGTCCATGTCATCGTCGACATAATCAGCCCAAAAACCACGATCACTGCCGAGACCGTCGTCGCCAGAATCCTCACCGAAACTATCCTGCACTTCCTGTTCCAATGGAGCCTGAAGACGTTCATCCAAAAACCGAGCTGGGGGAGTGTCAGTACCATTGCGCACATCACGATCATGAGCACGAGCACGGGGAGGAGACATGACACGATCATTACCTTTGCTCCTGCCCTTGCCGTCTTTGTCGCCCTTGCGACCATACTTTCCTGAACCCTGTCCTCTCGAGCGGCCAGGAAAGGGGGTGTTACAGAACTTGCACTTCTGGCGGGGGTTGGTGTCGGGGATCCATGATGTCTTGCCAGCATCGCGACAGACGAGACACACCAGATATCCCATGCCTCCAGCGCGCGCGAAACTCAACGGCCCGACGGGCTGCACTCTCGAGAGACAGCGACGGACGGGCCAAAGCTAATCGTGATTCGCTATGTTACTTTAGCTTCACACGTTTAGCCTTGAGCCAAAATGGCTACGGAGGAAGGGAAGGGAGGGGACACGAGGAGGAGGAGGAGGAGGAGGAGGAGGAGGAGGAGGAGGAGGAGGAGGAGGAGGAGGAGGAAGGAGAGGGGATGGGGGCCTGCTCACAACCTTTCTGTCTGTGAGTTGTCGTCGTCGCTGTCCCTGATCATAGCTGCCGTCGTCGTCGTCAACGTCGTCGTCGTCGTCGTCGTCGTCGTTGCCGTCGTCGTCGTCGCTGTCGTACTCGTCGTCGCACTCGTCGTCCACTCGGACTCGCTCTCGCACGCAGGCACTTACGGCCAGACGCTCATAGCGGGACGTGACAGGAAATGACGTGCACATATGGGAACATCTGTGTCGAATCGTGCTTCTTCATTTTCTAGGAAGGCGCATGTAGCCCACAGTCCCTTCGGTAAATAATTTCCAGGCCATGCACTGAGCCTCCGGCTACCGTTCGGGACGATTGGGGCACCCACGGAACGCTCCCGGCGAGGCGCTTCTGCTGGAGAGCACCCCGAAGTGAGAAGACCTCCGCGAGTAAACGAGAGCACCCGAAAGGCTCCAACACGTTTTTCTCCCTCGCGTCCTTGGAGAAGGATGAGTCATGAAGCGACGGCTCTGTGGCGTCTTACCCCAGTTGGTGAGCCCAACGTCCTGGTCCCACCGCCCTGGTCTCTGGAAGCGCGCATCTCTTGAGTTGCACAAGGAACCTCCGGAGGCCACGCGCTGGACATGCATGCGGAAGTCCCGCGCACATGGCCGCGAAAGGGCCGAGCGCTGGCAAGACGCGCGGCCAGGAAAGGGCCGAGCGATCCAGCTGTCGCCTGGGCCCGCGACGCCGTGTGCCCTGAAATCCGATGTCGCGGCACAAATGCAGCAGCATGGAAAATCACGACCCTGGCCTGGATCCACCCTTTCTGTCGCATTTCCCGAGCCGAGCCGGATCGATCCGTGAGGACCCTGGGTGCCGAAATCGGGCGAACCGCCCAGTGTTTAAAACGAGTGACGCGAGGATTTCAGGGCACGTCATGTGCATTTAAGACGAGGAGGAGGAGGCGGAGGAGGAGGAGGAAAAGGAGGATACCTACCCCATCTGCCACTACGACCCGACCCCCAAGCTACACGACTGACCCCTATACATTCCCTGCTACGGCCAGCACGAAGCTGATCAAGCTCAAGGATGCCGTCAAAGCGGACTCACACCAACCACTACACATACCGCCCAAGCAGCCGAACTTCTCACGATACGGCAACGACATACGCTCTTTTGCGGCACAATGCCGCGACAACTTAACATTCAGAGTACAAGTAGTCCAGACACACGCCCACATCACCACGCTGATCGCAGGAGGACAAGCACCACTCAACAATGCCAAGATCAAAGCCATACAAGAAGTAGCACAATGGCTTAACACTTGCCACGACGACCACGACATGAAGTACAACTGGGCAGTACGACTACGCGACACAGCACTCCTACTACAACACATTTGCAACCCACAAGACCCAAGGCCACAACCTCCCAGCAAGCGCGACGACAGCGACAGCTCCAACGACAGGGGCAGCATCACTAGCACAGCACAAGGGACTCAGCAAATACCAAACAAACCACAGCCACCACCAGTTCAGCCCTTTCTCAAACCACTTGCACCAACTCTACCACCATTTTGGACTGCTGACAACAAACCGACCAACCCAACAAACACAATGAACGATAAACACAACCCAGTAACGAAACACCAAACGACACAGCAGCCACTGCAACCTAAAGTGTCCACACTACCTGCAACCACGCAACAAGACAGCACTCCACACTCGCAACAAAACCATAGCACAATACCAAGCAAGCCCATGCCAAATATACGCAGCAACATACTGACCACTGTAATCACGACAGCACTAAACCAGCAAACGTACACATCACCACCTGCGCACCTAACCCAACAACCGCTGAACAAGCCTAACACTAGCAACACTACAGCAGAGGCAACCACACCTGCACCAGCATTCACTGCAATGATCACATGGTCACCGTCGTACATATACATACCGCCACACCCTCCACCACCTGCACTCATGATACCGATCATATACCCGCCTGGGGAAGACACTAACACACACACACCAGCGAATACAAACCATCCCGTGGCGGCAGCTAGCACCGCAGACACTAGCGACACAGCAGACTTACTCCCCTACACAAGCCGCACAAGCAATTGCAGCACATCAAGAAGCAGCTCGACGCGGGAATCAGCATATACACACATTCGATCGACGTGCCATCTTCATCCACAAGACTGGTGACCCAACATTCCAGAACTACATCGACAGAATACGCGGACACCAAGCTTGCTACGAGGCATACCTCAACAGCCTCAAAGAACACACAGTGGGAGCACCATTTAGGGAGCCATCGCCCAAGCACGTGGTAACGATACACAAGGCTGCTCACAAGCCCCAACCGACAACCACTACGAACCAACCGAGCCAGACATAACAACCGACCCACAACGCATGGTACACGGCAGGCCACCGCAACTTCCACATCAAACACTCCTAGTGGGTCAATTACCGCAGAAGGACCCATACTGAAAGGCAGCACAGCCATTCAGCAAGCAGTATGTATACCATTACCACTCACATGCAATACACCGTCCCTCTTTCTCCTCGCGGCTCCTCTAACACGTCAGTGGTACTTGCTAATGAAAGGTTGGGTGTTAGCCTACAACACCCTGGGTAGCAGCCTTAGCATTGCTTGTTGTTCTTCTCGTGCACCTCCCTTGTCCTACACCCTCCTTATCCGCTTCCTCGAGGGCCCAAAGCCAAGGGTCGCAGCCCAAATATTGCACGCTCTTACTTCTGAGGCCGAGGGTTAACCTTCAAAACCCCATCGCACACGCAGCCTCGGACACAGCCAGGCAGCACTATTTCATTGACTGCCATTGTTTCAGTACACATTGTACTGACAGTCAGCAGCGCACAATGCACACCTACACATGCAGCCTCGGACACAGCCAAGCGGCAAGTATGGTACTCTCGCTGTGCTACTCGTGGAGGTGGAGGCTTACATACTCTTATTGCAAAGGTCTCGGAGGAGGAACTTACTACATAGGTTCGGGTTACCCGGCAAAACCCTGTGTAGCAGACCAACGACCGCACGCGTTTTCTCACAGGTTTGCGGTAAACCATAAAATCCACCTTGCAGCGCACAGAGTACTAGCAGCACGGTAGCAATACCGTCTACGCAGCAACAATACCTCACACACTCTCATTAAGTGTTTCTTTTATGTTGCTGCACCAGGCCGTCGTACACATCTCCCTTGCCCTCCATACTCCTTATTCGCATCCTCCCGCTCCCCTCAGGTTCGGGGAAAACCTGCAAAACCATGGGTCGTAACCCAACGATTGCACGCTCTTGCTTTTGAGGTCGAGGGTTAACCTCCAAAACCCCATCGCACACGCAGCCTCGGACACCGCCAAGTAGCACTATTTCACCGACTGTCTTGTTTTCAATCCACACTGTGCCGACAGCTAGCAGCGCACATAACACACCTACACATGCAGCCTCGGACACAGCCAGGCAGCAAGTATGGTACCCTCACCTTGCTACTCATGGAGGCGGAGGCTTCCATATTCGGAGGTGTTAGCGGAGGAGGAACTTACTACATAGATTCGGGGGTACCCTACAAAACCCTGGGTAGCAGCCCAAATATTGCACGCCCTTTCATTCCAGACGTTAGGGGTAAACCTTGCTACGCACAGGGCTATTGCAGCACATGCGGTACACTTCTCCTCCCTTCCCCGCGCGGCTCTGACACGATGGTGGTGTCTTACCACAGGCAGGTTTGGGGTTACCCGACAAAGCCCTGGGTAGCAGCCCCAGGATTGTTTTTTAGCTTCGTTGCATCTGGTCAGCCTGTAACGCTACAGGCCAGCAGCCACACGGCCAGCCTACTCAAAAGGCCAGCCTATAAGCACCTTGCTCATACTTTCTAGTTGTTTGTCCCAAGCGGTTGGACCCCGCCCTCCCCAGTCGGCTTGGGTTTCCTCTTTCTCCCTGCCCTTGCCTCTGTTCCCTCTCTCCCGCTCAAGCCTTCGGGGCTCAAAGCCCTGGAGCCGACCTCAGGAGGTCTGGGCGCCCCCTGGGCGCCCGGAAGCGCGCGTGCGATGGCCGCCTGGCGCCTGGCGCCGGCGGGTCCCACACGCGGGCTGGTCGCGCTGGCTGCCGGCGCGACCGCCTACGACTGGCGCGGGCCGCTCAGCACCGCTGCGGCCCGCGTCGGGCGGGCCAGCCCAGCCGAGGCCCGCGAGGCCCTGCCTGGGCGCACCGTGCCGTACTACGATGACTCCGAGTACGGCGCGGAAACCGACGAGCTCGAGGAGGGAGGTGAGGCTGCTGGCAGCACCCAGGCGCCGCCCGACAGCGGGCCGCCGGGCGCGCCCCCCCCGCCGCCCAGCCACGCCGCCGGAGGAGTCGACAACATCAGCAACGCCACCGGCGGACTCCGTAAGGGGGAGTCATGGATTGGCGGCTGGGGCGTCTGGGCGCTGGGATGGAGGCCTCTGGGTGAAGGCACCTGGGCCTGGCGCTTGAGCGGCATGGGCGGGGGCGCGTACGAGAAGCTGGACAGCCTCGGGAGTGCCTTCTCGACCCGCGCCGAGACGGGCTGGCTGACCAAGGACGGCGGCTGGTTGTTCTACGCCCTCGAGAAGCTGGGCTTGACGGTCTTCGGAGCTGCCTGGCCAGTCGTGGCGTGGACGTTCATTGTCCTGGCCTTCCTCGCGATGCTCGCTTTCCCCACCCACATTTGCCGGGCGCTGTTGGCCCCCATGTGCCGCTGCCCTCTGGCTGATTGGTCTTCTGGCGCGGTGCTTCAAGTGCCGCCGGCGAGAGCCTGGCGACGCAGCTGCCGAAAGGTACCTGCCGCCGGCTCCGCCTGCCCTTACCCAGATCCACTGGATGGGGCCAGAGACCGGACCTGCCACGACCACCGAATACTACAGCAAGAAGGTGAAGGGACGTGGGACAGGGAGGAGGCCCAACGACGTGCTGGTCAAGATTGACGACCATGTCGCTCGCGTGAGGATCGACCTCGCGGAGCCCAAGCGGATCGACCGGACGGGCCTCCGGGTGGATTACCTGAGCGTGAAGGGGGCCAGTTCACGTGCGCTCCGCCAGAAGCTGGAGACGCTCGAGGGCCGCTCGATCCACCTGCGCCGCAACATGGCCTGTCGGGATCGGCCCGGGGAAATCCATTGCAAAGAATGCGCCGCGCTGGACTCCGAGGCGATCGTGGACATCGGCTCCCATGCCAAGTTCACCTCTTGCCGCGGCATCTTCCTACTCTGGCGAGCTTTCGCAGATCTCGGGCGCGGCACCTGGCGGATCATTGTGTTCACGTATTGCATCTTGTCCTGCGGCTGCTCTTTCTGCTGCCGGCGACGCCGCCGTCGCAAGACAGGAGCTGCGGAGCCAGGCGTTGCAGGAAGTGTCGCAGAGGTCCTCGATCAGGAATCTGAGTCGGAGGTGGAGGCTGAGGACAAGCCATGTGAAGCAGTTCGGGTGGGCATTATACTTCGTGGAGGCGCGCGCCCCCTGGCCCCTGACGGCTGCCGTGGCGCCGCAGAGGCTGGGCCAGCCACTTTGCTCATGGAGGACGGACAGGCTTCCGATCTCCCGCCGCCCAGCGACGGGAGGAACTCCTTCGCCCATCTTTGCGCCCATCATTCGCAGGTCTACCGGGCCTCGCGGTATCGTGACAAGTGCTCCCAGGTGACCCGCTACCGCCAGGCGGTCGGCAACGCCGAGGGCGTGCCACTTTGTCTCCTTCACCTGGGCGGAGAAGCGGGCAGAGCGGCGCAGGCCACGGCTACCGCCCCGAACCGCGGGCTTTTCTCAGGCTTGAGGCGTCGGGCGGCCCGCAGCCGCGGCCCTCGGGCGCGCGAGCCGGGAGCCCCTGCAGCAGCAGCCCCCCCAGCAGATGGAGCTCGAGGACCTGAAAGTCACCGTGGGCAGGCAGCGCCAGGTCCGCCCCCTCGCGACGCACCGTCTACACCACGGGGTCCGCCTGCCAGCGTTCGGTT